CTTCACCTGCTGCGTTTCACCACTTTCCGTCTTCACTTGTTCAATCTGTACTTGTTCGGGTTCTTCTTCAATCACTTTAGCTCGTTGTGGTTCTTGTAAAGTGTCAAGAGGAGATGTAGTGTCATCGACTATTTCCTCTGTTGTGTGTACTATAACGATTGGTGTTTCATCATCTGCTTGTGTTGATGTGATTTCTGTTGTTTCGAGTTTTTGACCTGTTTTCTTTTTAATAGTACGTTTAGTTGTTTTAATTTTACGTGGCTTACCATCGTCACTAGGAACCTCCTCTTCTTTGGTCTCTTCTGGAAGCTCAAGTACTTGTGGGACCTCAGGGAGCTCTTCGAAGTCTGGAGCAGGTTCTTCTTTCATGACAATACTGGTGACGGGTTCTTCGCCTTCCTTTTCAATCGTTGTTATCTCAGTTACTTCTTTCTTGGGCCCTTTACGCTTTTTAATCACTCGCTTGATTGTCTTCACCTGCTGCGTTTCACCACTTTCCGTCTTCACTTGTTCAATCTGTACTTGTTCGGGTTCTTCTTCAATCACTTTAGCTTGTTGCGGTTCTTGTAAAGTGTCAAGAGGAGATGTAGTGTCATCGAGTATTTCCTCTGTTGTGTGTACGGTAACGATTGGTTTTTCGTCATCTGTTTGTGTTGATGTGATTTCTGTAGTTTCTAGTTTTTGACCTGTTTTCTTTTTAATAGTACGTTTAGTTGTTTTAATTTTACGCGGCTTACCATTGTCAGTAGGAACCTCCTCTTCTTTGGTCTCTTCCGGAAGCTCAAGCACTTGTGGGACTTCAGGGATCTCCTCAAAATCTGGAGCAGGTTCTTCTGTCACGACAATACTGGTGACGGGTTCTTCGTCTTCCTTTTCAATCGTTGTTATCTCAGTTACTTCTTTCTTGGGCCCTTTAAGTTTTTTAATCACTCGCTTGATTGTCTTCACCTGCTGCGTTTCACCACTTTCCGTCTTCACTTGTTCAATCTGTACTTGTTCGGGTTCTTCTTCAATCACTTTAGCTCGTTGTGGTTCTTGTAAAGTGTCAAGAGGAGATGTAGTGTCATCGAGTATTTCCTCTGTTGTATGTACGGTAACGATTGGTTTTTCGTCATCTGTTTGTGTTGATGTGATTTCTGTAGTTTCTAGTTTTTGACCTGTTTTCTTTTTAATAGTACGTTTAGTTGTTTTAATTTTACGCGGCTTACCATTGTCAGTAGGAACCTCCTCTTCTTTAGTCTCTTCCGGAAGCTCAAGCACTTGTGGGACTTCAGGGAGCTCTTCGAAGTCTGGAGCAGGTTCTTCTTTCACGACAATACTGGTGACGGGTTCTCTGCCTTCCTTTTCAATCGTTGTTATCTCAGTAACTTCTTTCTTGGGTCCTTTACGCTTTTTAATCACTCGATTGATTGTCTTGACCTGTCGGGTTTCACCACTTTCCGTCTCCACTTCATCGATGTCTACTTGTTCTGGTACTTCTTCGACCAATTCTGTTGTTTTTGTTTCAAGTGGTGTTTTAATTTTTTCTATATCAGCTTCAGATATTTTCCCTGTGTGTTTTACCTTTTTGTTGGACTTTTTCTTAATCTGATACGTTTCTTTAACTTCATTTTTAATTGCGCTGTCGGAGTCGCTTTCAACTTGAATTTCTTCAATATGTACTTGTGATCGCAACTTTGGTATTTGGAAGTATTCTTCGGGCAATTCGATTGTACTTTTATCAGTATCTGTTACTATAGATTCATCTCCTTCATATTCCACTATTTTTACGCTGTGATTTACTTCTTGCTTTGATTCTTGTCTTTCATCGTCGTCTAGCCTTTCTTCTATTACAATGTTAGCTTCATTAACGTTTCCGTCCTCTGTTTTTCGTTTTCTTAGTATAGTTCTTTTTGTCTTAATTTGTGTTGGCTCTCCATTGCCAGGCGATTTAATGAATTTTGTTACAATTTCCTCACTTTCTTCGAAGTCAGAAGATCGTGGTGAATCTTTGTTAACAAAGGATTTTTCTGAAAAGGCACATTGTGTCATAAATTTTATACATTTTAAACTTGTTTATCAATTGAAAATTATTAAACTATAGGGCAGGCGGCGTTGGTGATCTCCAGTATTGGGGGGCAGGACCACTTTGGGACGCTGTGCCATCGCAATAATTAAGTAAGTGTTAATAAATTTCTACATAAGATAGTCTACACAGAAAATCAATAAACCCTTCCCTTAAGAGAGGGTTGAGCTTTCGTTGCAGTGTGCTGAAATTCCAGTTTATTGTACTTTTTATAATACTATTAACAAAGATAAACCTACCATGTTTGATCTAATCTTACAATAACATATATGTTTATTTCATAGCCATAATCGTTAATAATTAATTATCAAATATTGTGGGATAGAAATAAGGGCGCAAAGATAACTACATATATGTGTATTTATGAAAGAAAGTGTGTTAGGTTCAAATTGTGTTTTTAGTTACTTTATTTATTTCTTTTTATGTAATTACTGCAGCCGCTGATCTATAATTCTCGTTCGCAAGTTTTGCGATCGCTTGTGTCATGATGTCAAGTAAATTAAGATCGATACAATATTGTTTTAAACTAAGATATACGCTGTTAAAAAGTCCGGTCATATGTTTACTTTCTTAATGTATACTATTGTGGCAAATGTATAACAATCGCACAAGTTGCGGCTACAAGCCGATTTTTCAATTGCGTATACATGTAAATTAGGGGCTGAAGATTATTATAAAAATATACATTCCCATTTTCAGCCCTTAATTTACTTATTTGAATATATTGCCACTCACGTATTTGTCTGGTTTCGTCACCGACTAGTTTCGAGCACATCGGTTATTAGTTCTCCTCCCCAACATCATACATTAGTTTAAAAGAATGCCTGTTTTCCTTACCTATACCATATACTACAATTTTAGATATTCCATATATTTATATTTGGTGATATAAGGGGGACAACCGTAAAAAGTTAAGCCAAAACTTTAGGGTTTATAAAACCTTGAACGCCTACTCACGTAAGTGAGGTAAGACCAGGGAGATGATAATGATGATGATGCTATATATTTATATTCTTATTTGAAAATAGTTCATTTATGACCGCTAAGTTGATATTTTAACTAAGTATATTGTAATAAATATGATTGGCAAAAAGCAATGCTTACCCTTTAAAAATACATCTTGTTGTGTAATCATTATGTTATGGTGATCGACATCAATAGTAGTGAAATTTGTTTTGAGTGCCTGTGGATATTCTTGATTGTAAGGACTTGTTTCTTCAGCTCTGTTTTTGTCCAACACTTCAATTTCATTGTAAAGGTTGTAAGTTTCATTAATTTGTTGTTTTTCAGGAGTTTTAACATTAAACGGTGTTTCACGTTGCATACTTGTGTTATCAGTTACTAATAAGGGTAATATGTTTGTAGTTTTAACAGTAGTGGTTTTAGTCTGTGGTTGTTGTGTGACTAATTCTTCCACCTGCAATTCAGAAACATTAACATTGCATTGGAGGTGCGTTAATGGCGTTATATTCTTTTCGGCTGTTACAGATTTACTCAAGTCGGACTTTTCATTTTTTACACTTTCATATACAAGTACATCTGTTTGACTTATTGGTTCTAAGTCAATTATATTTACGATTTTATTCTCTACCGTAATTACATTGCTAGTATCTAAAGCATTTTCAACTTCTCCTAAAATTATTTCTGTTAATTCAACAGGCTTTAGTTCTGAAATTTTTTCTTGAAGCTGTTTAGGTACAGTGTCATATGGGGTGTCAATTTTTTGAGGATGTTCTTGAGTTGTGTCTTCTGAAACCTGATAACTTTTATAAGTTTCTATATCAACTGTGGCATTATCGCTTTTTGTAACAGATGAATCATACATCGTAGATACACTGTCTAATGTATTGTGTTCACATTTAGTAACTTCATGCGAAACAATACACTTCTTTTCTGCTATTTGCTTCTGCTCTTTTTCTGATTTAGCTAATTGAGCAACGTTTTCACTAGACATTACTGCAATACCCTCAATTGGTTGCATTTCCAAGACTTCTTGTTCTGCAGTTTTTGGCTCAGTACTTTGAATGATAATATTTTCGGAGGTTTCTACTGTTGTACTTTCTAATGTCATATAACTTTTATTAAGCTCATATTCATATTCTATTTTTTTTTCGTCCCTAATTTGGCCACTCAAACTTTCTAAATTTTCAATAGATTGTGGTGAAAAATGAACTACTTCTTTTAATGGAGCTAATATAGAAGACGCATGTTCAGTAGTAGTAGGACCACTTGTTGTTAATGAAGTAGGAGTTTCTTCTGCAACTAGTTCAAGCAGTTGTATATGTTGCATTTCATTATAACTTGACTTGGGTGTTAGTTCTTCTGGCTTATGATAAATATCTATTTGGTCGACATTATCCATTACTTGTGTAAGTTCGCTTTTCAGACCTTCAGATGTAAGTTGTAGTTTTTGTGCAGTTTCGTATCGCTCTTTAGGTTGTTCAGTAATTGTAAATCCACTCTCTAAAGCTGTGGTTTCTGAAATAAATACATGATCGACAGCCGCAACGTTGACTCTTTGTTTATCGCAAATCTGATTGCTTTCAATATTTAGATTTTCTTCCTTTTCCTTTGTATCAATATCCATAATCGTAATATGATGCTGAGAATCCATGTCAATTGTTACTTTCTCTTTCTTTACCAAATTACAGTCTGTTAAATTCTCTTCAGATTCTTTTGGTATCACTTCTTCTATTAAAACGGAAGAATGTGTTTCAAATATTTCCTTGAATTCCTTAGGCTGATCTATGATAGTTTGTTCATTTACATATTCTTTCTCATTGGCATCTATTTCTGTAACTGTAACATATTTGTTACTTTGTTCAATATTACAAGAAGCGTTAGTAAATGTTTCTTTGTCTTTGTCGCTTAGTTTTATTCCCTTTTCAAGTGTCAATACTTCTATTACGTTAACTGAATCACTCAACTCTATATTTACCAAAGGTTTTTCTTTTTTCTTTATATTGATATTAAATTCTTCCTCAGTTTCTTCAGCTTTAATTTCATCAACTATAAGAGGTTTAATAGGTTCAAAGTTAACTTCACCTCTTTCTTTTTTATTGATATCTTTAGATGCTAAAACATTTTCTGATTCCGATAAAAACGGAATTTCAATATTAAGATGTCTGTTTGTTTCCAATTCCGAAATATTTGTTAATAACGGTTTAGAAGTTCCTTCGACTCTCAACTTATCTTCTGATTCCACTGGAACTAGATCTGTAACATTTATGGAAACATGTTGGGTAAGAACTTGCTCCGCTTGTTTTTTACTGTGATCTTTAAAAGACGGTAACTCTTCTTCTTTTTCACTAACAACCGTTTCACTTATGTTCACACATGGTTGGACCAGAACATTATTTGTAGGTTGTATATTTTTTGAACCAATGGGCGTAATTTCAGACAACGGTACCAAATTTTCTGAAGGAATAACTTCAGTCGTATTTATAGAACTTATACCTTCCACAGAACTTTTGCTTTTGATTAAGTTTGTTACTTCTTCTACTCTTATTTCTTCCTTTTCTCCCAAAATTTGCTCTGTTTTTTGGGGAGCTTCATGAATTTCGTATGATGGATAAGCTTTTTCCTGTTTTATGTTTTGCACTTCCAATTCTAAACTGTCTTGATTTGTTAGTACTTCAATACTTTCCAGATGTTTCTGCTCCTTTATAGAGTAGCTCGCACTACTAGTATGTAATTTCAACTCATTTTTGAATTCCTTTTCTTTTTCTACTGTCTGTATTTCTTGAACTTCTTTTGCTTGAGATTCTACTAGCATTTCGGTTGCGTGTAACTTTATATCTTTTTCTTTATGTAATAGTTCTGCTTCTTTTTCATTAAAAATAACTTGCACCCCTTCTACTTGCTGTAGATTTTCGTCTATTGTTAATATGGCTTGCATTAAATCTGGTTGCCTATCTTTTAACAAATCGACATTTGCAGATGTCACTATTTCAGTATTGATTGCCCCTTGCAAGGGGGATTCCATTTTAACAGAGTAGGGTTTAGTTTCTAAAGTAGAAGTATCTAATTCTTTTTCTTTGTCACTTATTTCGGTTATACTAGTTTGGATAGATTGTAACTGTGTAAAGTCAAGAGTGGCATTTGAATGTAAGGTCTCTTTTCCCTTAAATGGAATTTCTTTTTCTGCCGGTATAACATCTGTTTGTTTTAGAACATTTAACGGCACTGTAACAATATTTGGAGCTTCAATGCTAGTCTTTGGTTCTGTTAGTGTATCTATTCCATGGCTTATAATAGTTTCTTCTACGTTTGCAGCTTTTCCATAAACTTCCACATTAGGTAAAGCTTTTTTATACTCGAATTCAAAATCGTCTGTTTTTTTTAAATTATCTGAGTGTGATAAAGTTTCAGTTGTTTGAATACCGTGCTTCTCCAATATAGAAATATCTGCATTTTGTTCATTAGGTTTTATGGGCATAGCAAAATTATTTTCAATATCAACCAACACATTTATATCACATTCAGGAACTGGAAGTGCTGTCATAGAAATAGTAGGCTGTTTTGTTGAAACATTTTCTTTTTCTAATACTCCTTCAAAACTATGAACAAATGTTTCATGTTGTGAAGCTGCTTGTATCGGTATTGTATCTCCTTTAGCTTTGACTAAAACCTGAATATGCTGGTCTTCTAGATCAATGGTTTTTGTTTCTGGACTTAATTCTTCTATTAATAAAGCATCGTTTGTATCGAAATTAAGGAAAGCTTCGCATGAACTCGGTTTTGTTGTTATTAAAGCCCGCTCTGTTTCATTGCAATCTGTTGTACTCACAATAATTTCCTTAAAACTAACATTGCTGATAGTAGCATGTTTCGATATATCGACTTTAGGGGTTGGCTTGGTAAACTCAACCGTATTTTCAGAAATAAGTTCCGATGACATGGCAACGGGTAGACTTGAAATACTAGTAGCCGCAGTAAAACCTTCTTTTACTTCACTGTCTTCATAAATTCCTTCCTTTTCGTGTTCTAGTGTTTCAGATATAGTTAAAGACTGTTGTGGAGCAATAAGTTCTGTGTTAGGGAATTTGTGTTCGGGCGTAAAATTATCTACCAAAGGTTCTTGTGTTTCTAAGACGTTACTTTCAGAAACTTGTAGCTGTGTCAAGGGATTCTGTGTTATTTGTGCTTCTTTGTAAGTCAATTTCTCATCGGGTAGTTTATTTAAGGTATCTTTTGTATTGACTTCTGAAATCAAAGCAACTTTATGAATAACGTCAACATCAATTTCAGCTACTTCAGTGGTTGTTGGAATTTTTGGCTTAAAATATTCTTCTTTTAGAGAAGAATGTGTTTCGGTTACATTCAAACCTTCCTTACTTATAAAGTTCAAGTTTGCGGTCTTCTGACATAATTCCTTTTCTTTCAATAATTGCACTTGTTCTTGCGCAATTGTTTGGATAGTTGTTATTTCTTTAAGTAAACTATGCTGTTCTGAAATTTCTTCTACAATATTGTTTTCACTCTTAATTATGCCTAATTGATCAGCAGTAGTAATTTCTTGTGAAATTGGCGTTTGTAATGTATACGAGGTTGCAGTTATAGCATGATTGGTGTCCGGCATAGCGCTTGTATCTAAAGTACTTTCCTTTTCAACTGCTGCGGTTTCAGTGATCGAAAGAGGTAAATTAGGAACAATCGCCGTAGACAATTCTCTGGGCTTTTCAATTCGGCAATCTTGAGGAGACTCCTGTTCATGTACTAAAGGCATGGATATGACTTTTGCATTTTGTGTTAATATTGTTTCTACTGCAGATTTATCTCCTATCTCCTGCGATAAAAATTCTTCGACGGTTGAAGTGTCTAAAGTATCGGATGTTATTATTGGTTCTAATGTTTTAACTCTAATGTTTGCTTTAGCCGTCGGTTTTTCTAATTTGGTTATGAATCCTTCCTCTTTTTCACTTACATAAATTTCCTCAACAATTTTATTATCTAAAGCAGAAATAGAAATATTTGCTGTTGTTTCAGCCGTTAATGATTTTGATGTTTCTAAATTAAGTTCTGAGTCAATAATGTTTGTTTCGGAATTAAACTTATGTTGGTGTTCATTAAATCCAACACTTGCTTTTTTACTTACTACCGAATCGGCTAAAAATTCTGATTCTTTTAAGTGTGAAGTAACTTGAAAATTTTCTAATCCAGTATGTACTTCCAAATCTTTATCTACAATTGCCATTGAGGGTTTTTCAGGAACTATTAGTTCTCCTTCTTTTTCATGTAATTCACTAATAGACACAACAACACTGTCTTTTACCGTTACATCCAAATTAGCCTCCTGAGAGGGCGGTAGTTTTAATGCATTTAATAATCCTTCTTTCTCTTGCACATCATGAAATTCGGTAAATATTTGATTCGAAACAAGAATATCTTTCCGTGCAGTTTCAGTAGGAACAATCAACTCAGGATAATATTTCCCAGATTTATCCTCGATAAAAACTTCGCCGACTTGAACTGACTCCAGTAAATTAAAATCAACCTTGCCATGTATTGGTTTTTCTAAGCTTTGATTTTCGAGTTTTTGTTCTCTACTCTCTTCCTTAACTTCTGTTACACTAACTTCACTCAAGGGCGTTATTCCTACTGAAGCGTACGTTTCTGCAAGTGGTAGACTTTTTATTGTACCTTCTTTTACTGAACTTACGTCCTGCGAAATATTGAGAGCATCTTGTAAAAACAGTGTTTGTTTTGCATTTTCTTTATGATCAACACTTTTTTCTATTTCATTTACTGAAGAAACTTCGTCAATAATCTCAGTTGTGATATATCCTTCAACTGTAACTAGTCCTTCACTAGCTTTTGTTTCAGGTTTTTGTTTGCCTATCAAACAATCTGCCACTGAATTACCTACATCTATCTCGGTTACCTGCAGGGAATCTGCTTCAGTAAACTGTGTTTGGGCTAAACTCTTGTGCGTTGTTCTTGGCTCAAAATTTTCCTCTTTTTCTTCAACTTGCTCACTATTGCTAATTAGAGGATAATTTGTATCTAACTTAATCCTGGCTGTGAAGTTGTCTTGTTTACTCATTTTTATATGAGTGGCTTCACTGGCTGGTATAACTTCAATTTTATTTTCAGATATTTCAGTTGGAACAGTTGAAATAAAAGGAATTCTGTCTACTTCCAATATATCTGATTCTTCAACGTCACAATGGTCAATTTTTTCAATTGGATGCATTTTCTGAAGTTCTTTTTCAGAAGTAAGACTATTTGTCTGTATGTGTTTTTTGCGTTTGCCGTGTTCTTTTTCTTTGACATCTGTGAAATTTGAGTATTGTAAATTAAGTTTGACTAATATTCATTTGAAAAGTATAATACACTGTTGCTACTTTTATAAGATAAAATATATAGCATAATACTTAATTTTTAGCTACTTAAGCCTTTGATTAATAATGATTTTTTCTAACGTAATATATGGTAAATGTATTTATGTGAATGTTAGTTGTACTTACTCGAAACGAAATATTTTTTTAATAACATTTCCAGAGGAAGTGCAAGCGCTCGAAGTTAATTGATGCGAAGGCTGGATAAGGATAGAAGCACAATTCAAATAAGCACTGGTCTTAAACTACATATCTACGTCACATAATTTTAAGATTAGTTTAGTCAGCTTAAATACTTAATTTTATTATTTGCCCAAGGACATCGTTGTTATAAGTTTATAGCAGGTTTCATCGTAACATTACGCGTAATGAATTCCGTGTAGATTAAAATGTCGCTCAGATATATTGTTTGGCCATTTAAAGCGCAATTTTTAACAGGTAGTAAAAGCACAATTAACTTACAATAAGATAAGAACATTTCTTGATATATTATGATTAATTTAATTAATTTTTACCTTGCTTAATATTTATGGTTTTCGCCTCTGCAATATTTTTAACATTTGCTTCCTCTACGACCTGAAAACAACAATTACAATATAGCAATTGTAAAACGTACTAACTATATAAGTTAACTATCTTAACCTTCATACCTCATGTGCTTCTTTTTGTTCCCAAGAACGAGGTTTGAAATCTTCGGGATAAAAGTGAGCAATAACCTCTTCAACAGAGGTATGCCTCATTTCGACCATTTTTAAGAATGCTCTAAATCCAACTTTAGCTGCAATTGCTTGTTCATCTTGAGTAGTCTCTTCAGTAAGCACTTCAGTTATAAGCGCACTATGGCCCTGACGCTCAACTAGCTTAACCAAAGCCGATTGTGACTGAGGAACTCGCAAAGCAGGGAAAAATTGAGAATCATATAAACTTTCTATTTCTTCAATTGTCAAGCCACTTCTTAACATGTATCCAATTTTTGCCAATTCCCTCAGAGGAGATTCTCCGGGTCCAAATTCCTTAGCATTTATAACCTCTAGGAGCTCATTAATTTCCGCAACCATACGAGAATCTTCTTCTAACTTTGTTACCCCATAATGCTTGTTTAATTCATTGCTTTCTAAGGGACGAACTGTTTCAACTTCATCTTGATGTGTAGTTATTGAATAGTCCTCATGTAATTCTTGTTCCTTGATTTCTTCTTGTACAACTTTTTGAGTGTCGGATTTTTTGACAATAGTTTTCTCAACTTTACGTTTTTTATCAATTTTAGTCTTTTCAATTTTGCTTCTTCTTGCTGATATTTCACTTTCCTCAATCTGTACTACTTCCTCTTTAGATTCTTCGGTAGTCGTCTTGTCTGATCGTTTATCGTCTAGTTTCTGAACTTGTCGCTGAGCAACTGTGTAGATACATAAATTTATACAATTAATAGAGCAAAAAGAATAAATAATAAAGGTCAATAATTGTAAAAATGTACTATTTAAATTTAAACACAAAACAGAAAAGAATTACCCTTCACAGAAGATTTCAACTCTTCTTTATGCTTTACCCATTCGGGTTTTTTGTAGTCTTTTGTATCAATAATATCTGAAATCAGTAAATAATCATCATCATATTGTCCCACTCACTTTGAGTCGGTGAACAAGACGCAATCATTTTTGTAAAATCTAGTTAATAACAACAATGAAATAAAAAATATACAGGATGTAACTTGGATGATCGATCGAAAACTTTGCGAAAGGTTGAGGTACTTGATATCTAAGTAAACTAAAGATAAAACTAATTTAAAAATAAACAATGAATTCGATAAAAAGTTCAATTTGTATTAAAAATACTTAATCACATAAAAAAATATAAAATAACACCGTTATTTTGTCTTAAATGTACATAGATGTGTGTTTATGTATGTAAAAATTTATATGTCATAAAAGAGATATTAAAAATAAGTGGTAGGCAACACTTTAGATATGACTAACACTGTGAACAATGTGACATGTTTTTGTGCCATAAATATTGTAGATTCGAATAAGGTATTGTAGTAGTTTTATATCAGTCAAGGAAAGGCTTTAAGGGGTCGGGAATTAAAGAGTTATGTTTGGTTGACGACTAAACCTTGAGCCTGATGATACATATCTGGGCAAAAAATTTTTTTTAAAGATTTTACAACAAAATCTAATCTCACAGAATCAACAAGTGGTAAACATATTCTGATTTTCATTATATTATTCAAGTGAAGTGCTTTAGATTTTTTTAGGAAAATATTGTTTAATATTGACAACGAATATATACAGAAAAATACTGGTATAATAATATCTACAGAATAATACTGGTATTTTTTTTATATATCATAAGGTGGCAAACGAGCGAGCGGCCACCTAAAATCGCTGAAATAGCGAAGTGACCGTTGCCCATAGACATACGCAATTGCATATGCGTTGCCTAACTTTAGTCGACGGAGAAGAGGATGCACATAAAGAAAATATTTTCCCTTCCCATGTATCCTTTCATCCGGACAGTCCACTTCTTCTTCCCATCCTTTCCTTATAAGAAAAAGAGTGGGAAGGGAAAGAGGACTAAATTAGGCCTCAGGGACGCACACTCATCAGACGAAATGCGGAATTGCTTCCACTTCACGCCGTCTTCTGTTTGATCGTGGTATTTCACCGGGCGAGCCAGGCCAATTCGTGCAAAGATGTTAAAGCGGGCTTTACCACTGTTAAATATAATAATATCTATATCTGGTAAAATAATATATACATAATAATATTGCTATAATACCTGGGTAATATTAATTAATGGTCGAAATGCGGTATAATAAACAGCCTTTTTTATTGACTTCATAAACAAAGTATGCTGTCCATTCGAAGATTTGTAATAACATGTTTGATTACTATCTGAAACCCTGTAGCGAATATATGCTTGCTGCATATTGCTTTATTGACCGCGCGCCGTCCGCGCAAATAAAAAAAAATGAGTAGCCTATGTATCCAGCTAGACAATAGTCCATCTATGTCAAATTTCAGCGAGATCCATACATCCGTTCTTGAGATACCTTCTAACAAACATCCATCCATTCGTCCAAACACTTGCATTTATAATATTAGTAAGATAATTAAAGATATTTCGACATATTCTAGCCAAAGACAATCCGTTTTAAGCCGCGTGTAACTCACTTTCAACAGATAAGGCCGTGACTGTTGTTGTAACCCCTAATGAATTATGTGCTTCAAATACAATATCACCAGTGTCATTTTGAAGTGTTTCAGGTATCATTAAGATTGATGTTCCGTCTTCTAACTCCTCTATTTGGTATTCTTGGGAATGTTTAATTTCCACACCCTTTTTCAGCCATCTAATAATTGGTTTAGGCATTCCAATAGCCTTAGCTTCCAATCTATAAAAAAAAACACGAAATATTATTGTGCCGCTATGTTTACGTTTTAAAAAGGACGGTTACTAAACGCGATTTTTCATACCTTGTAAATTCTCCTTCAGTGGTAGATACAACTGTGGGTAAAGCTTTTACAATTTGTGGCGCAAATTCTTCAATATCACTTGTTTTCTGTAATTAATAATTTAAGATTTATATATATTTTTGTAATAAGAATAGGACAATATATAAAAGAATTTACTATTAAACACTTATTCTTAGAATGTTTTCTGTTGTGTCAAATGCGGATTCACATATTCTTAAATTAAAAAATATTCCGCGTACGAGTTGTAACGTGTAGTCGTTAATTTGACTTTCACACAAAAATAGTTAAAAATAAAAAAAAATACCTCGTCGCTTAGAACGTCTTCTTCAGATGCGCTGGGTACATATTCGTAAGCTAAAAAAAGTAAGAATTAATATAGCATGTTTTGGTCCATGAGTTTGGTCGAGGTTCTTATCTCAATTAAAAGTATCCTTCGGTTTCCAAAACTAACACCCATTTTCCACGAAGCGATTAGCCGCGAACATCATTCATTTTCTATAGCAGTCGTGGTACCGAACGCAGAAATAGAATACGCAAGCGCTATAGAAATTAGTCCCAAGTGTCTATCCGCTTAGTGGAACAGAGGTCTTACTGTTAAAATCTAAGGCATGTCACACTTTTCTTAAGAAGAAAGAATTGCACTAAAAAGCTCTGAAATAATTAAGAACTGTAAAGCCTTAATAGCTAAATGCTAAGCTATATGTTTGTTGCGCAACTAATATTCAAAAGCTTAGAATCTCATCCATTGAAAAAGATTTTTTTAAGTGCTAAAACAAACTATGTGTTCCGTGGTTTTTTTTACCCAAATAATGTTATAAAAAGTCAATCTTCATAATTTTAATATTCTACAGATGCATGGCCAGTGTAAAGTATGAAAGTTATTTCTATGAACTTGTTATTGAACAGTGCACTGTTTCACTTTTTGACGCCTCCAACATGCAGATCACTATTTTCACCTCATGCAATCATGTAACCAAATGTAACTACCTTCTACATTAACAACGCATTCACTGCTACATGTTCCATAACTATTTTTTCCTTCACAGATATAAATTCCTGACATTTCTGGGAAAGCTTCTTTAATACATAATTCACACATTCCGTTTTCTTGTCTAGCTTTTGATACATCCTTTTCATATTGAATTACTTCCCCATTCCGATACCAAACTATTTTAGGATGTGGTTTTCCTATAACTTCGCATGTTAACACTATTGGTTCTCCATCCATTACGATTAATGATTTTAGAGGATTTGTAAAATGAGGAGCCATTCCAATTGATTTTTCCATATCACTTTCCAGTATGATACTAGCAGAACAAGAAACAGATCCAGCAAAATTCTCAGCTCTGCATGTGAATACTCCTATGAATTCTTCACTAATATTTTCAATGCATAGGCAGGATATATTTTCTCTGTTAGTGAGACAAACGTTATTTAATTTCTGTTCTTTTATATAAGACATTATTTCTATGTTGCCGATGAACCATTGGAAGGAAGCATTTGGAGAGGAGATAACCTCAGTTTCCAGCAAAATTGTATCCCCTAATTTTATCGACCGTGGTTGCAAATATCTCACAAATACAGGTGGTTGTACATCATCATCCACATCCGTAGCCTTCTTTAACTTCACTGAGCAAGCTGATTTTGCAATTTGACCATCAATACTTTCAATAACAATTTCATATTTCCCAGCCTTTGTTTTATCAACATTTTTAATTTTCAAATTCGAAGTTCCATGCGTTGTTTCTATTAAACAATCATCAGTTTGTTCTAATTCATGACCATTACGAAACCACTTCACAATACTTTGTTTTGGGGCTTTAAATGTGGCAGATAAATCAAAATCATAATTACTTTCGATCTTTAGTGCTTTTAAAAACCCAGTTATTATCGGTCCTTTTTCTGAAAATAGTTGATATAGTTATTTTTTTAGGTAGAACAATGACCCCTAATTACCTTGACGTCCTCTTTTTACTAGCGCTTTAACTAATAATTTTGAACAAATGATACTACTTGATATCATAACACTATTAATAACGTTATGGTATTACAGCTTGTATCATTACCTAATTGGAATTGCAGTTCTACATAATGATTCATTTACTTAAAAAACTTATTTAAAAGTAACATAGATTAAATAAAAGCAGAACTTAAGAAAATATAACAATTATATTTAAATAACACACATATACCTACTACTTAAACTGTAAGTCTGTAAATGCAAAATATGTAGTTGCCATGCATCTGTGGTTTCTTGTTCAAAACTTCGTTTAAGTTCCAAGCATATAATTGGCTTTTAATAACGTATGATAATAATATAAGTAAGTATATACAATCGTTGATATCACGATTTGCACAAAGACAACTAACACTTTACCAAAGTAATCGATTAAGAAGTAAAAATATAGATGAAACAGTACCTGTGACTACAGTTTCTTCCTCCTGTTTTTCTATCTTCACAGGTTTTAGGTGCACTTCTTCGGGCTTTTCTTCCTCAGGTACTTTTGTTTTCTTAACTGGTTTCAAAATGACTTCCTCCACCTTTTCTTCAGCAGGTTTCTCCATTCTTGGCTTCTTCTTTCCTTTAGTTTCTGTGATCACAGTTTCCTCTACCTGTTTCTCTACTTTTACAGGTTTAAGATGCACTTCTTCAGGTTTTTCTTCCTCAGGTGCTTTTGTTTTCTTAACTGGTTTCAAAGTTACTTCCTCCACCTTTTCTTCTGCAGGTTTCTCTATTTTTGTCTTCTTCCTTTCTTTGGTTTCTGTGATCACAGTTTCCTCTACCTCTTTTTCTACCTTTACAGGTTTAAGATGCACTTCTTCGGGCTTTTCTTCCTCAGGTACTTTTGTTTTCTTAACTGGTTTCAAAATGACTTCCTCAACCTTTTCTTCTGCTGGTTTTTCCATTCGTGGCTTCTTCTTTTCTTTGGTTTCTGAAATCACAGTTTCCTCTACCTGTTTCTCTACCTTTACAGGTTTAAGATGCACTTCTTCGGGCTTTTCTTCCTCAGGTACTTTTGATTTCTTAAATGGTTTCAAAATGACTTCCTCCACCTTTTCTTCAGCACGTTTCTCCATTCGTGGCTTCTTCTTTTCTTTGGTTTCTGTGATCACAGTTTCCTCTACCTGTTTCTCTACCTTTACAGGTTTAAGATGCACTTCTTCAGGTTTTTCTTCCTCAGGTACTTTTGTTTTCTTAACTGGTTTCAAAATTACTTCCTCCACCTTTTCTTCTGCTGGTTTTTCCATTCGTGGCTTCTTCTTTTCTTTGGTTTCTGTTATTACAGTTTCTTCCTCCTGTTTTTCTATCTTCACAGGTTTAAGATGCACTTCTTCGGGCTTATCTTCCTCAGGTACTTTTGTTTTCTTAACTGGTTTCAAAATGACTTCCTCCACCTTTTCTTCAGCAGGTTTCTCCATTCTTGGCTTCTTCTTTCCTTTAGTTTCTGTGATCACAGTTTCCTCTACCTGTTTCTCTACTTTTACAGGTTTAAGATGCACTTCTTCAGGTTTTTCTTCCTCAGGTGCTTTTGTTTTCTTAACTGGTTTCAAAGTTACTACCTCCACCTTTTCTTCTGCAGGTTTCTCTATTTTTGTCTTCTTCCTTTCTTTGGTTTCTGTGATCACAGTTTCCTCTACCTGTTTCTCTACCTTAACAGGTTTAAGATGCACTTCTTCAGGTTTTTCTTCCTCAGGTACTTTCGTTTTCTTAACTGGTTTCAAAATGACTTCCTCCACCTTTTCTTCTGCTGGTTTTTCCATTCGTGGCTTCTTCTTTTCTTTGGTTTCTGTTATTACAGTTTCTTCCTCCTGTTTCTCTACCTTTACAGGTTTAAGATGCACTTCTTCAGGCTTTTCTTCCTCAGGTACTTTTGTTTTCTTAACTGGTTTCAAAGTTACTTCCTCCACCTTTTCTTCTGCAGGTTTCTCTATTTTTGTCTTCTTCCTTTCTTTGGTTTCTGTGATCGCAGTTTCCTCTACCTGTTTTTCTACCTTTACAGGTTTAAGATGCACTTCTTCAGGTTTTTCTTCCTCAGGTACTTTCGTTTTCTTAACTGGTTTCAAAATGACTTCCTCCACCTTTTCTTCTGCTGGTTTTTCCATTCGTGGCTTCTTCTTTTCTTTGGTTTCTGTGATAACCGTTTCCTCTACCTGTTTCTCTACCTTCACAGGTTTAAGATGCACTTCTTCGGGCTTTTCTTCCTCAGGTACTTTAGTTTTCTTAACTGGTTTCAAAATGACTTCCTCCACCTTTTCTTCAGGAGGTTTCTCCATTCTGGGCTTCTTCTTTTCTTTGGTTTCTGTGATCACAGTTTCCTCTACCTGTTTCTCTACCTTTACAGGTTTAAGATGCACTTCTTCAGGTTTTTCTTCCTCAGGTACTTTTGTTTTCCTTACTGGTTTCAAAATTACTTCCTCCACTTTTTCTTCTGCTGGTTTTTCCATTCGTGGTTTCTTCTTTTCTTTGGTTTCTGTTATAACAGTTTCTTCCTCCTGTTTTTCTATCTTCACAGGTTTAAGATGCACTTCTTCAGGCTTTTCTTCCTCAGGTACTTTTGTTTTCTTAACTGGTTTCAAAATGACTTCCTCCACCTTTTCTTCAGCAGGTTTCTCCATTCTTGTCTTCTTCTTTTGTTTAGTTTCTGTGATCACAGTTTCCTCTACATGTTTCTCTACCTTTACAGGTTTAAGATGCACTTCTTCCGGCTGCTGTTCTTCAATTATTTTTTGTCTCTTAACTGGTTTTAAAATTACTTGCTCCTGTTGTTCTTCTACTTGTTTTTGCAGATCTTTAGATATCTGTTTCTTCTTCCTATCTTCTTCTCGGACTTGCATAGTAGTCTCGATAATATCTTCTTTAATTTGTTGCGTCTCGGATAATTTCTTGCTTGTACGCCACGGAACTTTTGTCAAATTTGTTTCTTCATCCTGGGTTTTCGTAAGTACTTTATGATCAGACTCAGGTACATCTAATTCCTTTGTCTTTTCTAGGAATAAAGTGTTTTTGTCAACGTTTGTAACAGAAACTTCTTCTGTTACAGTATCTTGTTGTTTAGTTAGTTTTTTTCCGCGTCGCCAGGGTGCCTCTGCTTGCTCTGGTGTTTCGTGTTTCGGCAGAAGATTTTTAGGCGTGGGCTGTATTTGGATCTGTGATTCATGTTCTAGTTTATCCTCAGCGACGACTGACGTGGTTTCTTTTCTTACTTGCTCAATTTTTTGTTTTTGTTTTCCAACACGCCAAGAAACATCTTTTGGTTTCTCCTTTTCATTAAGTTTCTCACTATCTTCCGATAAAGGTTTTACAACCGGCACCTCTGACGTATCGTGCAACTTTAATACAACAGTATTTTCTTCAGATGTCAAAGCTTCATCAATGACAAAAGTCTCCACTTTTTGGATAGATTCTTTTCTCACTTGTCGTAGGGATACATCTTCCAATTTTTCTCGTGTTACCGGTGTTTTTTCAACTTTTGTTGGCTTCAATTTAATTGCCTCCTGCGTCCATGGCACTATATCATCTCGCTTGTAAACTTCGGGTTTCGGTTTTTGTTGTTTTTGAGATGTAACGGTTTCCTCAATTGTTTTATCTGATTCTACATGAACAGATTCAACATTTGCCGGCTTTTGCCTTCTCCAATATCTCGTTTCAGTATCCTTGACTGTATCTCTTTCTTTAAGCAATTCACTTTCTTTAGTTGTTTCAATTATTTCAGATTTAGTTTCTACATTCTCGGGTCTCGGTTTTCTCCATGCCCGTGTTTCGAGGGCCTTAGTTTCTTGAATATCTTTTTTGACTATGTCTTCATCAATCTCTATAGTGCTTTTAGAAATAATACTTGATGATTCTTCAGTAAATTGTTGTAGTTTTTTTGCATCTTCTTGACGGGGTTTTCTCCAATGCTTTACTTCTAAAGTTTCTTTTTGTATTATATTTACATCTTCTGTAGTCTGAGTACGCCATGGAACATTTTGTACTTTCCTCGTATTTACATCTTGAACGTTATCCAATTTTAGAATATTGCTATCTTCAGTAGTTTGATACAAAGATTGACTGGTAATTATTGTCGCATCTTCTGATTTGTCAATAGTATCCGTTTTATACTTTATTGTTTTACTGCTTCTGCGTTTTTGAGTTTCTGAAAAGAAGTAAAAGCTTTTAAGAAAGTAAATAAATATGTTGTCATAAAAATTAAAAAACTAATTCCATAAAATGAAATATAACGTGTGGACATACGTAACAAAAATCGTTGTCAACATTTTATAGTTTTTATACGAATTTAAATAATAATTGTAATTAATGTTTAGAATATAATTCATGTGATTATTTAGCTATATTTAGTGAGTTTGTTCCGTAATTTTTTTTTATTTATATTAAAAGATTCATATTATTATTTTTTTTATTTTCCAAATAGGGTTTGTGACTGGCTGGCGGCCGTAAAAATTAATCCAAAACATTAAGGACTAAAAACACTGTGCTCCAACCCCACATGAGTAAGATAAGGCCAGGAAGATGATGTTAAACTGTGATTATTGTTTATGAGAGCTACAATTGACTAAACGGATGAACATACGTAAGTGTTTTAGCCGTTTTTCTGGTATATTGGTTTTAGTTCAATCAGTACATTGTTTGTTTAGGGATATATCACTTTTTTAGGAAGGTAAATTAGAAAAACATTTGTTAGTTTACTATATTAAAATAAGTAAAAGATTAAATATGAAATAGTATAAATCAGTAATTTTGATGATTCCATAATGTTGTTGTAGCGTTTGCAATATGCGCCGTCACAATCATGATTATTTAAAATTTTTCCAATACTCGCTGTCGCCCGCGACTCGGTCCGCGCGGAATTAAGAAGAAAACTTAAATATTAGCTTATGTGTTTTTTCCAACAATGTATGCCATATTGCAATGAGATCCATGCAGCCGTTCTAGAGATACCTTCTAACAAAACCCATCCATACATGCAAATATTCGCATCTATAATATACTAGGCCGCGACTCCGTTCGCGCGGTTTTAAGAAAACAACTTAATTGGTAGCCTATGTGTTCCTCCAGACTATGTTCTACATCCATGCCAAATTTTATCGAGATCCGTTAAGCCGTTCTGGATATACCTTCGGACAGACATCCATCCATCCATACATCCAAACATTCGCTTTTTTATTTATAGTAAAATAGAGAAGAAATTTTATAAATTGTTGTTTTTTTAATTCAATAATTACTTAATCAGAACCGATTTAAAAATTGACTAGTGTTTGTTGTATGCTATTTACTTATTTTTAATTGTATTGTCTGCAGAGAAACTGGAGCAGGTTGCTAATAAACCAAACAGTATTCAGGTTCAAGAGTGGACATATATTCTTCACACACACGCACTCACACTCACCCTCTCACACACACACACACGCACGCACAAACACACACGGTGGTAATGGGTTATAAGTCCTTTGCGTAAGAGAAACATAATCAGATTGGTATAAAGCAAAATTTACCATTTTATCATGTATTAAAAAAATCTCTTCCGTTAACGGTTACTATTGTTAGGAAGAAAATCCGAAAATGTGCCAGAGTATTGACCTAACAGTAGGCTTACTAAAATGTCAACGTTTATGTCCCCTCATTATTCATTCTGACACTGGACCTCGTAACGAAAGCACGTCATTCGCGCCAAAGCGTTCTAACTAATAATGTCTAAAACTATATACTCTATATTTGAGATATATAAAATTCTAATACTGTCCTATAATAATAGAAGTACATATACATAAGTAATTGAGAAAATTGAGCAATTTTACTGCTTTTTAAAACATTTATTAAAAAATTTTATTGATTTAAGAGACAAAAAAAATTAAGGACTGTGATTTGGACTTGTTTATCACTATTTAGGATTTTACTTCCTACTCTACTACACGTGTTTGGTGACGATGGAAAATAACTTATAAAACTCCGGATAATAAAACGAATGCATCTTATTCGTGAAAATCGGGTCAGCCGTTTAGGTTTTAGGCCAGTCGTTCCCAAAGGCGATAACACCCCCTAGTGGGCGCTGCAGGTCTCAAGTTGCGGGTTATAGTAAAAGTTTCGTTTAGAATTCTCCGCTAATATACATATATAGGTCACAATAATTAATTAATTTAATTTGAAGTTCTATTGGTTTTCAAATATGTGAAAATAAGGGGGCGCTAAAAAAACATTTATTCTCAAAATGGGCAGTAGACAAAATAAGTTTGGGAACCACAGTTTTAGACTGTCACGAATGAAATACATACAAATTCACATTCATTAAATTCACTATAAGGTTTTGTTCTACTTTTATCTTCATTGCTTTTTAAAGATGTTATTAACTATGGCAGGGATGGCGAACCAATGGCACTAAGTATTTTGCACACGTCACTGGCTGCAAAATTCTATATGTAATACGAAAAAACAGTGATAGCGAACGCGAGTGAACGGTACGCTACGGGATGTTGCCAATAATTATAGTGTCAAAATTATTTCATATCACGTTTGAGACCACTTAAACATTACTTGAAAATTGCCATCCTTGCGATATATATATATATATATATATATATAGTAAAAAATGTTCATTAAAAATATATGTTGATACGATACTAGAAAAATTATAAATTTTCTAAATTCATGTAACTACGCATTCATGGTTATCGGTTACTATTCTTAATACCGTCGATCCATTTAAATGGCAAAGAAAATACTAAAAAATTGAGGTTCGATCACTAAAATTCGTAGATTAGGACTTAATAGAAGATTTTCTTTTTTCATTCATCCTTACATCTTACCAGAACCATTGGTACTTTTATATTGTAACAGAAAAATGCCTCCTTCTCAAACAATAGGCCTCAGACAATTTTACTGTCAAGTCTTGTAAACCCATCTCTTCCATACATTACTAATTCGAAGTGTACTAATCCATACAAATATGTCTGACCGTAAATGTTAAAATTACCATAAATATTAATAAATTAAACAAAAGATTCAATCCCGATTAATAAAGGGGACTAAACTATACTAAAAACTCGATAATAAGATAGACCTTACAACTATGACACTGAAAAATATACTATATCTTTCTCCTTTCAAATACATACAAAAATATATGTTATACATTCATAAACGATAAATACTATCTTTGTTAAGACAAAACTAGATATAACTGTTCCCAATAAGATTCTGCTGAATTAACTACTAGTTTTTGAATATTTTTGAAATCGCACAAAATTGTAAAGTCGTCTAAAAGTATATTAAGCATTGAATAAACAAAAACATGGCATTAGGAATTTATATATTGTATGAACGAACTTTATCAGTTTCCTGTTCATACATTAATGGTCAAATCAGATATAAGATATTTTGAGGTAAATTAGTCAATTTGGTATATCTACCTACGTATTTAAAAAATATATATGTCTGTTGTGCGATTTTCATACGTCGTAACAAGAAAACAATATGATTAAAAGTTTTTCTGTAAAAACGTTCTGACAAATAGTTTGCAGTTTATTAATATTGACCAACAAGGTTATCCGGTGGGCGTAAGTCAAACTAAATTAAGTACTGGCGACCTCCTGTCAATTAAATGTCACAAGTTCCCTTTCGTACTGTCATGTTTTTCTTTTATGTCATTTTCTATCATCCTGTAGATTTTTATAGGTTATAATTTGGTCAGCGTGGATTTAAAAAAATAGCCTGTGCCTGTTAAAAATCCCGTCAAAATCGGTCCAGCGGTTTCGGAGATTACCCGGAACAAACTTGGAAATGCGGACACAGGAAAGTTTTAAAAATTGTAACCGAAATACATAATGTTGTGTACGAAATATGTATGAAAATATAATTTTAACATTACATACAGACGCACCAATTTTACCGTATATATTTTAAAGACTTTGGTAAGTAATTACTAATCAAGTTAGGAGTTTAGACCAGACTGCAGTACTGATCTTGAAACATAGCGAGGACATTACAGATTTGGGTTGAAAGATGAGAAACTTATGGTGGGTTTATTCAGCTACTTAATCAGACTGGTTTGGGAAGCTTAAAATATTTTTTAACATAACAACCTAAAGTCAGTACATGAAGGTTACATAATCTAAATACTTTTGAGGATGACGTCATTAGTTTGGTTTGGAATCGTAAAGTTACATGAATATAAATATCAAATAATTTATTTAATATCACGTTTTGAAGATCCGTTCATCATGATCCGGATTTAGTATCTGAAATCACAAAAACTTATTAACAATTTCATCAAAATGGGACAGAATTTTCCTACCCTCTTTACATTCTTATTTATATTCGAAACATCAGAGATAACGACCAAAAATTACATAAAAACAAAATCTTATTTTTAACCGATTTCAAAAAGGAGAAGGTTCTCAATTCGTCTGATTGTTTTTCTTTTGTTTGTCAATAACTCCGCCGCTGGTTGTTATAAAAACCCAGAACATAAAACCAATCTCAAATGCCACCACTCACACTTCCCCTATTATTTTAATCTTTACTTACCACTCTCTTTCTCTCTCTCTCTCATAAATATCGTGACTCTTTCTCACTAAAACTCAAAACATTGTTTAAATACGTTGAACTTAACTCCACTCTTACGTATTACCAAATTATGAGAATTCATTGCTACTATGGCTATACCTTGATACCATTTGACCTAATTATGTCCTTATTTCCGGATATACGAAGTCCAGCTTACCAATACTTACGATTCCATCTATATTTAAGAGTGAATAAGGCTCCTATGGTCGTCGATATATTGTTTTCCATAGTATTAGTTATTTTCATCTTTTTTTTTGCGTAGAAGTAATTTCTAACTAACAAATCTGTGTTGCTGTCAATAATGTGTTTTAATAATTTTAATTAATTAATTGTATACTTGGCATAATGTTAATAACTACTCATAAACATACAAAAGAAGTAAAAATTTCATGTAAAAAAAAAGGTTGGTGAGTTCATAATTAGTTAATAAGGATCACTCGCAAGTGATTACAAACTATATTAGAATAGTTAATTAACTGTTTAGTTACAACAGTAGCAAAGAAAAAAAATCTAGATTATTAAAACTATAAAAATTTTGAGTGAATGATATGAGTACTAAATTTTTATTATAACCAATACTGGTAGTATATAAAAGCGTTTGTCGAACGCGAATTTATTAAAAAAAAACTACAATGATATTTTTATGCGTTTAAAAGTAAAAGTACATAATGTTATATATTTTGTGAATGTGTCTGTATGTATTAGGAATGGATACGAGGTATACTCGTCGCCAAGTGTACAGAATAATGCAAAGTGGTCATTAATTTATAGCATTTATTCAACAGTTTTCACATAAAGGTAACATACAAAATTTGTGTCATAAATATATTAAATATGGATAGGTAGGCACTAGAAATATTATGTGATAAAAACTGTCACATCTAATAATACATTTAGGTGAAACATACAACACAATTTAATTTCAACAATATCGTGCACTTAAAAAAAAACATAGTTAAAGTTTACTGAAAAGTTAAACTATAAATCTCATTCAATTTGGATTTGTACTTGCAGAAAACATTAGGTCATCAAAAACGGCAGTGTTTTGTCAAAACATAGAAACTGGCAAGACAAGAAATGCGTGCGTACTTTATTTAATTGATTAGTCGCAAAGGTGGAGCGACTAATGTAAGTTTATGTTTCTTTGTCATAGGAGAGTTGACAGCGTAAGTAGGGATTGATTACGTATCGCGAGAACGATCCAGCCACAGCCCAATGCACCGTCATACGCTGAATTCATATAACCTTAAAATCGCGCTCAAAAAAGATACGGCGCGGCGCGGGCGTAGCATTGATATTTTAAAGTATTGGAAGATCTAAGGACGGCACGAAACTTACCGCCTCCCAAGAGCATTGTCTGTGTTAAGTGCGACAAAACTTCACCCGCAAATATCTTAACCGGCTACAACAAACAATCATGCTGGACAAATCTTAATTTAAATTTATTATGTTATATGATTTACTAGGCAAAATTTTATAATGTGGTTGCGATGAGGATTAATCGGTTAAATACATGATCTTTTTTATAATTAAATGGAATTAATAATGATGTAAAAACACTGTGAAAATGAATGCGGTGTTTTGAAAAGAGATAAAAAGTACGAGTAGAAGTGAGATCGTTTGCAATACATTTAAAAATTCGACCTCAATTTTACACCAAAAGCATTAAATCCAAATTTGTTTGTTAATAATGCGAAATAAATCATTTAAGCACAGGCTTGAATTAATGTAAGAGTATTGGGTGAAAAATACATTTGAAAAATTGCCCTGAAGCGCGGCATATATTTATCGAATAATAATTATGTTTGTTTTCTTTATTTATTTATTTACCATATATGTCTTGAATATCGAAAACATTTAGTAGACATCGTAGCGGTAAAAGCAAAACAAAAAAACAACTGTATAATATTTGTGTTCGTGTTAATCACATGTTACGTATGTATATACAAAACGTATAATAGAGGTCGTGTCTCGGTGCTCGTTGTCCACACTCCAGCGGTGGCTTGTCTCCTCGAATTACTAGGACTGTTTACACAAAAAGCTTATATATACAGCATTGTTAGATGCGTGAAATTCGCGCAAATTTGACGGAGTTAAATTTACATTCGAATCCATGAAATTGTTAGGAGTACGCGTATTATTGACGCCTTCATTGGTGTTGATACGCCCGATAGGGCAGCTGTGCCGGGAGGCAACTGGAACCGGTCGCAATGCTCTACATATGACTAAGTACGCGGAAGTCTATGTGCCATACAATCACGACTAGACGATAAACTAGGAAGCGGGCGGAATCGTTACTGCGGAACCGCTACGATTGTGTGAAGTATTGTAAAATGATGTTGTATTTCGCTTGTCAACTTAGTAGTCCTATGTGATAGTAGTTTTCACCCGATCTCATTGAGGTATAGAGATGAAACAAAGAAACACTAAATTAATGGATTAAAGTGCGCGACGCGAGCTCGCTGCCTGTATCTATGTCTTACTTTTGACGACTAGTTTTGCCGAAGTCTCAACTTGGCCGGCGGCAGTAGTTGCGCGACACGTGAACGTGCCACTGTCTTCTTCGTAAGTGTTATAGATGACCAAGTAAGCGTTGTTGCCTTCGTGAATCATCTGGAAAATAAGAGAATGACATACATTGAAGTTGTTTGTTTCAGTTGTTTGTTCAGTAGATGAACAATTAACTCTGGTCATTAATAACGTTACGTTAAAGAAAAGAAAAAAAGAGTAAGTGTTTTCAATCCATCAATCATTAGACAAATCGCATGACTTCTAATTTACGTCTATTTTTATTTTTAGTAGTAACTATCTAATCTTCTTTAAAATATTAGTAGTAACTAATATTTTAAAGAAGATTCTACTGCTGATAATGACTGTTCACAGTTTTAAAAGAGCTAAAATTTTTTTTTATGTATTTATTTACAATACTTACTTCAAAATCAGGATTTTCGGGGATGAGTGCTCCTTCCCGAAGCCATTGAATAGTTGGTTTGACTTTGCTACTGATATTTGTTTTGAATTGTGCCGGTTCTCCTTCGTAAACTGTGACGTCACGTAGCGATGTAAGTGTCGGCAGATTATCAGCTTGATCAGGCTGAATCACCTTCAATTTAGCAGATACAGTAACTCTTCCAGCTGAATTATAAGCGACACATTTGTAATCGCCTTCATCTTCTGGGAAAGCTTCCGATATACGCAAAGTGTAGTCATCAGCAGTTCTAGACATTTGGAAGTATTTCGATGGTTTTATCAATTTATCACCCTTGTACCATTGCACAGTTGGAATTGGTTTACCAACTATCTTACAAACGAATTCAATAGCTTGTCCTTCAGTTACCACTCTGTCCTTAAGAGGTTCAATTATTTCTGGAGGTGAATTAGCAACCTTAGTTTGCGGCTTAGGCTTTTCTTTAGTAGCAGGTGCAGTTACCAGACATTCGGCGTCACATCTTGCTTCACCAGCGTTATTGATTGCAACGCATTCGTATTTACCCGAGTCTGCTGGATACGCTTCCAAGATAAGAAGCGTGTATGTGCCATCTTCTTCAAGGATTTTATTTTTAATATCTGGCTGAACCTTCTTGCCGTTCTTTAGCCAATAAACATCTATTGGCTTAGTACCAGTAACTTTCGTGTCGAATCGCACCAATTGTCCAGAAGTGACGTTAACATTTTGGGCTGTTAAAGTGAAACTGGGAGGTATTGTTTCACCTCTAGTTTGACGCCTACGTTCTTCGACTACCAAATTAGCGCTACATTTAGCAGTGCCGCCTCTATTTTCAGCAACAGCCGCGAAAACAGCAGAATCTTCAACAAAAACTTGTCGAATAATCAGTATAGACTTTGTACTGAAGGTGTGAATTTGGAAATCTGGAGAATTTTTAATTGGGAAGTTTTCTCTATACCATTTGATAGTAGGTAATGGATCGCCATCAAATTCAACTTCAAATCTTGCCTGTTCATGCTCGAAGGCACGGCATGGTTGCATCTTCTTTGTAAAGACAGGTGGTGTGCAAGGCTTCACCGGTCCTTCAACGACTCGTTCATGAGTTTGTCCCTTATGTTCAACTTCAGTTGTTTCCGTTGAAACAATTTTGCGGGTGATTTCAGTGTCGCCGATAACTTCCTTTTGAATTTGTTTTTGTTTGGCTACATGCACTTCCTTGCCGTGAACACTAGATTCCGATGGTTCTGGAATTCTCGGCTTAAAGGTTTTCTTTTGTACTTGCTTCTCCACTACTTCTTCAGTTTGTTCTCTGTAACAAAATAAATAATTTAATAAAAATATTAACACTCAAGATATAAAGCTTTGCAAGGTTATGCTGATTGCATAAGTTTGAAGGTAACAAACATAGTAGCTGGTAATAATTTACAAGTATTATTAAGTTGACGATCGGTGTATGCCAATCTGGTTACGCATCCTTTTATATTTAAAATTAAATTAATTCAGAGAAAAATAATGAAATAAAACTGAGTTTATATTTGTAACTACTTACAAATTGTCTTCATATTTTTGGGCCATTGATCTTGCCACTGAGCTGCTTGTGACCTTTTCACCAGGAACAGCATATTGATGAGAGGATTCTCTCATTCTGCTTTCTTTAACGACTTGTTCATTTTCAAGTTCTTGAAGTTTGTTGTAATATTCTTCGCTCTTCTTCTTTTTAACAGTTTGTTGCCATTCTGTTTCTGGTTCCTTGATGATCTTCGGTTTCAATTCAGGTCTATGGTCAATAACACCTTGTCGTTGCATCACTTGCCTTTCTTCAAATGTTTTCTCTAGTTCTGTACCAGTGCGTTGATATTGTGTCGTTTCGTCGTACCAAGCTGTTCGTATAAAATATAGATTAGTATTTATACATTTGTGATTTTGTTAATTTTATTTTTATTTATATCACAACATACCTTCTATATAAACTGCTGGTAAGCCGGTAGAAGCAGGTTGTTTAGCAGCGCAGCATCGGAAGAGTACAGGTTAAGTTGAGGACAAAAGGAAGCGGGGGATTATTGTTTGTGCTTAAGCGGTGTGTGGATGTGTGCGTGAGTCAGTAACGTGTTAAAGAAGCATATCAAAAGCGTTGCCTTGTTAACATTTCATCAATACCTAATTTTTTGTAATATTTTGATGAGTAAATAGTATGTAAATATATGGTTATTGAATATATTTATGTAAATATCAATCAATGCGCAACATAATGATGTGTGAATGTACTTACGTCTTGGTGCATTTTTAAGAACACTTCTATAATCATCGTGTCTCGGTACCACTTTTAGTTCCGTTGTGGCCACGGCTTCGCCCACTGAGCTCCTGGCTATAACCTCAATTTTGCCAGTGTCGTATTGTCTAGTTTTAGGTATATCGAAATGATACATTCCATCGTACGTCAGTTTATATCTCGAACCCTATAATTATGAAATCATTAAATACTAGTTAATTTAAATAATAACCACAAATTTATATGAAAAATGTTTACATTAACAATGGTGTTTCCGTTGATTAACCACATGACACGTGGCTTAGGATGGCCCGTGACTCGGCAGCAAAATCTTGCCCACTCGCCCTCTTCAACAGTCACTGGTTCGGGACGACTTACGAAAACAGGCGCACAACGCTCTTTTGTCTCTTCCATTTTCTGTTCTGGTGCTCTGATAACGAAAAAGGAAACTCACTTCAATTATTTAAAGTTGTAGAGTTCAGCATAGCGCATTTTGGAATTACAAATAGAACGTTAAATCAATAAAATACAAAATAAGGTCTGTTGGATAATAAAATAGCAGATATGTTATTAATATACTTACACCTGCCATGATGCTTCCATTTCTCGAATCTTTTCAATACTCTTCATATGTTTAGGTAATTGTGAGTCGTAGACAATTCCTGGTTTACCAGCCGTTTTAATAACAGCCCTAGTTTCATCCATACCGTACAAATTAGTTGCGCGGCAAAGATATTCTCCACTATCCTCGGGGTATACCCATCCGAAGTTCATTGCAACATAACCAAAATCGTAGATGGGAGTAAAACGATTTTCTAAAAATAATCACATTAGTAAATTTTGTGTATTTCAAGGAATTAATTTTATTTTTAGGTTGTAATACAAAAATATCTTACTATGTAGTAGGGGTTTTCCATTGAAGAACCATTCAACTTTCATATTAGGATCTCCAACTGGTGCTAATTGACATTCGAATTTGGTTGATTCCATTTCAACCAATGTAGTTTGACTTTGAATTTGAGTGACAAAACGCGGTGGTTGTTTCTTATCGGCATCGTAAAGATCATCTTCCGTCAAAAACACTTCAGATGTGTACTTTTTGATCGTTGCTTCCATTTGCGTTAGAGCTTCGGACTTCTTCATACCCCTAGGTACTTGATTCTGCAGGATAATATCGGGTAAGCCTGTTGAGAGAATAACAATTAGAGAATTAATAATAATTTTATTACAATTATAAATGAATAATTTCAATGGAAATGGATACAAACTTTTACATGATACAGTTGCTTTAGTTGTATCTTCACCGAAGTCGTTAACAGCGCGGCAAACGTATTCGCCAGAATCTTCAGCGTATACATACAAGATATCAAGCGATACGAAACCCATATCATACACGGTACGGAATCTGTGGCCAGATGGCAACAGTTTTCCATTTCTGTACCACTCGATACGTAATTTAGGATCTTCTTTAGGTTCCACGCGACATTCAAATCGTATAGATTCAGATTCCTCAACGGTATGTGATTGTATTTGAGTTATAAATCTTGGTGGCGAGTTAATAAGAGGTTCCTCTTTAGGTACATCACTGATACGACCTCTTTCCAATTCCTTAATTTTCTCGCCGCTCATACCTTGTGGCAATTGAGATTCTAGTACAATATCTCGTTTTGTACTGCATGTTATCTTAGCAGTAGTTGTTGCTGATCCCCATTTATTAGTAGCACGGCAAGTATACTCGCCTGCGTCACGAGTATAAATATAATCAATATCAAGAGCGACGAAACCAAAGTCATTAAGCATATGAACTCTAGAGCCAGTCGCAAATGGTTTACCGTTGTAGAACCAATCAATTCTCATTGTTGGATCACCTACAGGTTCGACTCGGCAATCGAAATGTATTGGTCCACCTTCAGGAACATCGAGGTTGTCTTTAATTTCAACTGTAAACCTTGGCGGGTTAGGTTTTTCATCTTCGACAGTAATTTCTTCACGTTTGTACAATGTTTCTTCCAATTTCTGAATACTTTCTGTTCCCGACTTAAAGTGGGATGGAAGTTGGGGTTCGAGTATTATACCCTGTCTGCCTTTCACTTGAAGTTTGCATGATACGGTGGCCTCTCCATGTTTGTTAGTAGCTTTGCATGTGTAAAGTCCAGCATCGCGTTGGTAAACACCACCAATTTCTAATATAACGAATCCAAAATCGTTAATTGTTTTTACTCTTGAGCCTGTTAAGAGAGCTTTACCATTATGGAACCATTCGACTCTCATGCTCGAGTCGTTGACAGGAATTAGACGGCATTCGAAATGAGCCGATGAATTCTCTGACAGAATAAGATCAGACGGTGTTGTAATAAATTCGGGTGGATTACCACTCTCCGCTTCTGGTGTTAAAGAGTCCACAGTACCAGTGTAACCTTCAAGTGCAGCAATTTTATCAATGGTACCTTCCATTCCTTTAGGTAATTGTGAATCAAGAATGATGTTCCTCTTTCCTTGAACTTTCATAGTAGCTGTGGTGACAGCTTCGCCGTAATTATTGACTGCCCTGCATAAATATTCACCCGAATCTTCAGGATAAGTAGGGGATATCTCAAGAATGACAAAACCAAAGTCACAGAATGTTCTAAACCTTGAACCAGCTTTAAGAGATTTACCATTCCAATACCACTCCACCTAAAATGTAAAACAAGTATTCAAAATATTAAAACATTATCAAAATGTATGTTAAATTTCGTTAATAAAATTTAAGGTTAAAATAGATTGTTATCTTACCTTCAAATTGGGATCGTCGGTTGGTGTAAGACGTGCCTCGAAGTGAGCATTCTCTCCCTCTCTTAGGTTTTCAATATTGGACAGTGGTACTGTAAATACAGGCGCCTTTCCTCTTTCTTCATCAACCGCAGTTTCTTTTCTGCGTATCATTGAATCCTCTAATGTTTGCAGTTTTTCTAACCCTCCTTCCATGCCCTGGGTATAATCAATTACATTATTTACAACATTCAAAAAATCGATAAAAAAATCTTATGATCTTATGATAAGTTACATTTTATTTTAAAACTAAAGATGTAAAGCGCATGTTTACTAAAGAAAAATAGGCGTTTTTATTTTTAAATAAGATAGTATGGTATATGAAAATTAATTTAAAAAGATAGTTTTTGACCAATGAGTTGTATTTATGCAATATTTACTTACCCGCGGTAGTTGCGAGTCCAAGATCAAATTCTCCTTTGAAGTACACTTCAGTGTCGCTTTCGTAGAATCACGACCCAGCTTATTAGTGGCAATACATTCATATTCTCCTGAATTTTCTTCGTAGCAATACAAAATGTCTAAAATCACGATACCAAAGTCGTGGAAAGTTCTGTACCGATGGCCGTGCGGTAACTTCTTACCATTATAGTACCATTCTACTTTCAGGTCTGGATCGTCCACAGGAATTAATCTCGCCTCGAAGTGAGCACTTTGGCCTTCAACCAATTTCGTTACATCTTCAATTTGTGTGATAAACTTGGGTGGCTCCGCAGATGCCGGAGCAGGAGCTTGTTGTTGTACTCCTTGGAGACTTTCTAACTCTCTAATCTTAGCCAATGAATCAGGCTGCAAGCTGTCCAGGTAAACTCCTCCTTTACCATAGCACGTGATTGTAGCTTTAGTAAAGTCTTCACCGTATTTGTTGTATGCTCGACAAACATATTCACCTGTATCATGATTTTGAGTATATGATATATCCAAAACAACAAAACCGAAATCTGAAACTGTTTTTATTCTGGTTGAATGGCGCAAAGGCTGTCCATTATGGTACCATTCTATCTTCATGTCAGGGTCATCAACCGGTACAACGGTACACTCGAAATGAGCTGATTGGCCATCTTTAAGACCGTCAATGCTCTGTATGTGTGTTGTAAAGCGGGGCTTTTGACCTTTGCTTTTATCAACACATACCAATTTGCAACTAATTTCGGCTTGACCCCATTTGTTGGTTGCTCGGCAAGAATATGTTCCTGAGTCCGACTCTTTTGTTCCGAGTATTTCTAGAACGACCATTCCAAACGCATAAACAGTGCGGATTCTATGACTAGCTTCAATGGCTTTTCCATTATAGAACCATTCAATAACCATACTTTGATCTCCGGTTGGGATTAGAGATGCTTCGTAATGTGCGATTTGACCTTCGCTTATATCAAATATGTCTTGGAAGACTGTTGTGAATTCAGGCGGTCTTCCAGTGTCGTCGTCTGGCTTAGCACTTGGCTCTTTGCGAAGAGAATCTTCGAGGTTTTGAATCTTTTCCAATCCCTCGGCGCCTTTAGGATGTTGAGTTTTCCAAATAAGATTTTCCTTGCTTGTGCAATACACTGTTGAAGAAGTGAATGCCTCACCTTTTTTGTTGTAAGCTTTACATGTGTATATACCACTGTCCCTTTCATAAACATCAATTAAGTCTAAGGTTACAAATCCAAAGTCATTCGTCAGTTTAAATCTTGACCCTTGCTCTAAGACTTTGCCATTGAAATACCACTCCAATTTTAAGTTAGGATCGTTTTTAGGTTCAACTTGACCTTCGAAATGTAGCGCCTGGCCTTCTACTAAATTATTTTCTGGAGCTATAGGAACGATCCATTCCGGAGCAGGATATTCAGTGTCAGGCAATGACGATCTTCTACCTTTAGCAAGCCTAGCTTCTTCAGCTTGCTCAACCGCTTCAAGACCTGCCTTGCCTTGAGGATGTTGAGTATCGAAGTAAATGTGTTTATCACCAGTACATCTTAAGGAACCTGAAGTAGTCGCTGAACCCTTAGAATTAGTGGCTTTGCAAGTATAAATTCCAGAATCTTCTTCGTAAGTATGCGTTATATCTAAAGCTACGTAGCTAAAATCATGAGTGCTCTTGTATCTTGTTCCTGATGGTAGAGGCTTGTTGTTAAAGAACCATTCTATTTTAAGAGTTGGGTCTCTCGATGGTTCAACATTGCATTCGAAATGAATGTTGTCGCCCTCTTTGCAGATAATATTGTTCAAATGAGATATAAATACCGGTGTTTCATACACAGGGTCGGGAGATTCGGGCTTTGCCGGTTTAGGTTGTTCCAGTGCGCCGATTCTATCCAATGATTCTGGATGAAGAGTATCACCAAGTAACCAATGTCTATCTTCGATTTTAAGAGATGCAGTTGATACAGCTTCTCCCATGAGATTTGTGGCTTTGCATGTGTAAATTCCAGAATCGTCAATCCTTAGGGAATTGATAGAAAGAGTAACCAAGCCGAAGTCAAATGTGCTCTTTAGCCTAGATCCGGTAGTTAAAGAAACGCCATTCTTAAACCACTCAATTCTCAATTTCGGATCAGTTCGTGGTTCAACTTGAGCTTCTAAATGCACATGTTGACCTTCGACCAGTTTGTCATAACTTTGCAAATGGGTAGTGAAAATAGGTGCCTGTTGAACTCCTGTATCAATAAACATTTCAGGCACTTTATTCATAGCTGCTTCTTTCAGTTGTATCTTTTCCCAAGCTTCGGGTCTCATAGCCTGATCAACAATAGTAGATTTTGTCTTGACCTTGAGCGATGTCGAAGATACTGTACTGCCAGCTCTATTAATTGCTTTGCACATGTATAAGCCAGCATCTTCAGCAACCACTGAGTTAATATCTAAAGTGATGAAGCCGAAGTCATGTGTAGTGCGGAATCTTGAACCTAAAACACATTTTACCAAAGGTCAATGATTTAATCAAAGATAACGATAGATTTAATTAAATATAATTTAATATGTATTTAATAATTACTTACCCATCTTAAGTTCCACTCCATTGATGTACCATTCAAATCGCATGCTTGGATCACCTACAGGTACAACACGGGCTTCGTAATGAGCATGTTGACCCTCCCAAAGTTCTGAAGGGCCAGTAAGCACTTGTGTAAATATAGGTTTCTCAAATTCACGTTCTGGTTCTTCTTGCTTCTTAGCTTGGGGTTCTTCCAACCTCTGTATTTTCTTCATTCCTTCAGGGTGCTGGGTTTCCATTTGAATGGCTGCTTTAGCTGTGATTTAAAAAATAAATAATATAACATTAACAACACAACAAACAAATTTATATAAAATACTTTTAATTTTTATTTTGTACTCACTTTTAATCTTCATAGCGGCAGTTGTAACTGCTTCTCCTAATAAGTTAGATGCTCGGCACATATAGACACCTTCATCTTCATCACGCACATGGGTTATGGTCATAGACACGTAACCAAAATCATGAGTCTTTGTAATTCTTGAGCTATCCTCAATAAGCTTTTCGTTACGGAACCATTCAACTTTGAGTGTTGGGTCACCAACAGGAATAAGTCTGCAGTCGAAGTGGGCTGTTTGTCCTTCTTGTATGTTGTCGATATTTTGAAGTGGTTGAGTAAACACAGGTCGCTGCCGTGTAACCGGTTCAGGGATTTCTGGACGTTTGAATGGTTCTGCAGACTCTAATTCCTTAATCTTCTCTAATCCTTCGGGACGTTGAGATTCCGATATGATACTACCTTTTGCGGTTACAGTCATAGATATAGCGGATGTACACTGTCCCAAAGCATTAATAGCTTTGACAGAGTACTCTCCGGCGTCTTCTGGTACGCAGTGTTGAATATCCAGAGACACATAACCAAAATCAAAAGTGATATGGAATCTAGCAGCAGATTGCAGGGCTTTTCCATTATGATAAAATTCGATTCGTAGATTTGGATCATGGACTGGCTCAACTTGACATTCGAAATGAGCAGTTTGACCTTCATAAACATGAGTTGTTCCTCGTAATTCAGTGACAAAACGAGGTGGAGAAATTTTCGGTTCTTCTACTTCAATTCTAGAAGGATGTCCTTGAGCCTCAAGTTGCCTTATTTTCTCTAGGCCGTTAGGATGTTGAGTGTCCAAAATAATGTTCCTATGCCCTAAAATAATAACAAAAATGAAATCATATAAAAGAGAATAAAATAATGTTTTTTATGTTTATTAATAAAATAATATCTTACCTGCTACCTTCAACGTGCAGGTATTAACTGCCTCTCCAAGTTTGTTTGTTGCTTTACACATATATGTTCCAGAATCTTCGCTATATGTATATAATATATCCAGAGCAACATAACCAAAGTCATGTGTTGTTCTAAATCTATGACCAGTTTTAATTTTCTGTCCATTGAGGAACCATTCAATCTTGAGATCAGGGTCATTGATCGGTTCTACTCTGCATTCGAAATGAGCCCGTTCACCTTCTTTAAGGTTCTCCAGGCTTGTTAATGCTGTCAGGAAGACAGGTCTTTGACCAGGCTGTTCTTCCTCTACAGGCTTTGGTCTTTCGTATTTTTCGAGTTCTTGAATCTTTTTAAGTCTCTGTTCATCCATAGTATCCAAATACAATGATTTCTTAGCTAAAATAACAGAGTACCCATTTAAATAAATCTTTAGATAAGAAAACTCCAACTTATTTAATTAAGACGATGATTACGGAAACATAAGTTTATATTTTACTTACCATTAACTCTGACGGAGCTTGTTGTAACTGCTTCACCTACAGGATTGGTAGCTTTACACATGTATGTGCCAGTATCTTCAGCGTAAGCATACAAAATGTCCAAAGCCACGTATCCAAAGTCATACGTAGTTTTAAATCTATGCCCCTGTTGAATCGGTTTTCCATTACAGTACCATTCAACTCGCATTGTTGGGTCGTTAACTGGTGTTAGAGTGGCTTCTAAATGTACAGGTTGACCTTCTGGTACTTCAGCATTTTTAATTGGTTTACCAAATTGTGGCTTCTCGGCAATGAAACTCTCTTCGTGGGTGACACGTTTATATCTGCTCTCGTCTTCTAGATACTGTATTTTTTCAAGGGCACTTTCATGTTGAGATTCTCTTATAATTGATTCTTTAGCTATAAAAAAAAAAAATAAGTTATTTTTTTTTTCTTAAAAATGAAGGCGTAGGAGTACAAATTAATTTAACTTACATTGTACGTGCAATTTGATTGATGATACTGCTTGTCCTAAATTATTGATAACTTTACAAGTGTATTCACCAGAGTCTTCACCATAAACTGTCAGTATGTCAAGAGCGGCAAAGCCGAAATCATTAGCGGTGCGGTAACGATGGCCGCTTTGTAGAACCTTTCCGTTGAAATACCATTCAACCCTCATATTAGGATCTGGATAAGGTTCAATACGACATTCATAATGAGCACTTTGACCTTCAATCAATTTTGTTGGTCCATTCAAGTGAGTAACGAAACGAGGTGCTTGGTTGACAGCAACTTCCACATCCTCTCTGCGTTGGTAACGGGAAGAATCTTCCAATTGTTGAATTTTCTCCAACGCAGTTTCGTGTTGTGATTCAAGTTGAAGCGATGCTTTAGCTAGAAATTAATATAAAATTGTAAATAAAAGATATGACTATTAAAGTTTTTAAGAATAAAATAATCGTTTATATACTTACATTGCACAAAGAGCGTGGAGGAGGTCACAGCTTCTCCCAAGTCATTAATAGCCCGGCAAGTGTATGTACCAGAATCTTCTGGGTTCACGTATTTCATGTTGAGCGCGACATATCCAAAATCGTGCATTGTTGTAATGCGATTAGCTAGAAAAGTATAATTTATATTTAAGTAAATTTAATTTTAGTATGAAATAATATTTAAACGTTTTATTAAACTTACAGGCTGTTATTGGTACACCATTCCTCAACCATTCAACGCGTAGTTTAGGGTCACCAACAGGAATAAGGCGTGCTTCAAAGTGTACAGCCTGATTTTCTGCAACCCTAATATCTCTCATAGGTGTAGTAAAAACGGGTGCTTGAGTTGTAAAATCTTCTTGGACAGTAGACTTTTGATGTCTAGATGTTTCTAATTGGTTTAATCTAGGAAGTGCACCTTCGTGTTGTGACTCTAAATAGATGGATTTCTTGGAATGCACGATTGCCGTGCCAGAAGTGACGGCCTCGCCTAAAGCATTGATAGCTCTACATTTGTACGTGCCCGAGTCTTCTGGTAAACATGACATAATATCAAGTGCTACAAAACCAAAGTTATTTGTCTCAGTAAATCTTGAACCACTCTTCAAAGGTTTGTTATTATGATACCACTCAACTTTCATTGTTGAATCAGAAACAGGTATAAGACGACATTCGAAATGAGCACGTTGTCCTTCCTTTATCTCAACATTCTTAAGAGATGTTGTAAATATCGGTGCCTGAGTTGTAACTTCATCGACGACATCAGTTCTTGAATATTTCGATCGATCTTCCAGAACTTGTATCTGTTCCAGACCAGATTCATTTTGAGTAGCGCGAATAATATCGGCAGTACTGCGACAAGTTAATTTGCAACTAACTTCATCGCTACCAACGAGATTGACTGCCCTACATGTATAAACTCCTGAGTCCTCAGCGATCAAGTCGATGATATCAAGTGCTACGTATCCAAAATCATGTATAGGCCTAAACCTGTGACCTATGGTAACTGGTTGACCATTCTTAAACCATTCAACCTTCAAATTAGGATCTGTCACTGGTTCAAGTTTGCATTCAAAATGAACGTGGTGTCCTTCTTTGACGTTTTCAATGGACTTTGGTTTTGTAACAAAACGAGGCTTGATGTTGTAAGATTCATCAATCACTTCAGATTTCTTATAACGGGAAGTATCTTCCAAGTATTGAATTTTTTCTAACCCAGAGGGATGTTGAGAGTCAAAGATTAAATCTTTCTTCGCTAGTACTCTCAAAGCACATGAAGTTACTGCTTCGCCTAATTGATTTGTCGCTTGGCAAGTGTATACACCTGAATCTTCAGGGTATACACTTAAGAGATCAAGAGCTACATAATCAAATTCATAAGCGGGCCTAAACCTATGTCCAGTTTTAATTGGCCTACCATTACAGAACCACTCAACTCTCATAGTCGGGTCACCTACAGGTTGCAACCTGCATTCTAAATGAACATTAGTACCTTCAATGATTTCAATATTATGTAATGCCCGAGAAAAGTGTGGAGCCTGCATTACAGTGATATCTTCTTGTGTTTGTTTACTTCTACGAGCTGAATCCTCTAGTTGTTGGATTTGCTCGATTGCTTGTTCATTTTGTGTATCCGTAAGTACGTCGGATCTCTCTATTACACGGACCATTGCCGAAGTGTGTGCTGAGCCTAAGTGATTTACGGCTCTTACTGTGTATTCTCCGGAATCAGCTGAAGTAGCGTGAATAATATCTAAAGCTACAAAACCGAAATCATAATATGTTCTGAAACGTGATCCAACTGTAACTGCTCTTCCATTGTGGAACCATTCAACCCTCATAGTTGGATCGCCCATAGGTTCTAAGCGGCATTCCAAGTGAATATTTTTACCTTCAGATATCGGTTGTGGATCAGACAATGGTTGGACAAAGACTGGTTTTGATTTAGATATTTCCTCAATATGATACATTGGCTCCACGAATTTAGATTCTTCCATCTGTCTAGTCTTTTCATATAATCCGCGATGAATACTTGATGTATCGATGCTCGATCGAGCTAAAAGAATTAAGGCAAATTAATAAAAAAAATTGAAGGGACATTTAAATTTTATAAAACTTTACTAATATTATAAAAGCGAATGTTTTGATGGATGGATAAATGTTTGTTTGTTTGAAGGTAAGGCTGAACGGATCTCGATGAAATTTGGCATACATATACATAGTCTGGAAGAACACATGGGCTACTATGTATGTTTTTATTAATTGCTCGCAAACGAAGTTGCGGGCGACAGGTAGTGATATTATAAAGGGATATATAAAAGAAATACTCACTTTCGACGGTCATCGATGCACTCAACTGTGCTTCACCGGTAGCATTACGCGCTACAACAGTATACACTCCAGTATCTTCTGATCTAACTCCAGTAATGTCTAAAGCAACATAACCGAAATCGTGGTAAGTTTGAATTCGATTAGCAGATTTAATTAATTTTCCATTAAAGTACCATTCAACAGTCATGGTCAAATCGCTCTGAGGCTCTACTCTCGCTTCAAAGTGAGCACTCTGGCCTTCCACTATTTTATTCGTCCCTTTTAATGGACCTAAAAATCGAGGCTTTTGCTTAATTTGTGTCTCTTCTTCTGTGCGTCTTGAGTACTTGCTAGAATCTTCCAAGTATTGAATTTTTTCTAAGCCTCCAGGATGTTGAGATTCTGCTATTATATCTTTCTTTGTTATTATGGTGAGATTAGCATTTGTAGTGGCTTGACCGAGTGCATTATACGCCCTACATGTGTAGTGACCAGCGTCGTGTATTGTCACCGATTTAATAGTTAACGCAACATATCCGAAGTTGAAGAAAGTAGTGATTCTTGAACTTGCTTCAACAGGGCGTCCATCTTTTAACCATTCCACTTTTAATGTAGAATCGCCTACTGGTTCTAAGCGAGCTTCAAAATGAGCAAATCCTCCTTCCTTTATATTTATTTGATCTTTTATTGGAGTCTTGAACTCTGGCCTTTGGGTACTTTCCGGTACTTCTTGATAATATTTCTGATGTTGTTGTTGTTGATACGCTTCCAACTGTTCAGTCTTTTCGATATATCTTCTTTGCTCTGGGATGCCGAGATCTGCAGTAACAGTACTTCTTGCTGCTACCCTGATTGTTGCTGTACTGATAGCTTCACCAAGTTTATTCACAGCCCTCACTGTATACGAACCTGCATCTTCAGCCCGTAGGTGCATGATGTTAAGGGAGACGTAACCGAAGTTGAAGATTGACGTGATTCGCGAGCTGGCTGTGATTGGTTTGCCATCTTTGTACCATTCAACTCTCATAGTAGGATCACTTACTGGAGTAAGCTGTGCTTCAAAATGAGCATTTCTACCCTCTTGAAGCTCACCAAGATCTTGCAAAGGCCTAATAAACTGCGGCCTTTGGGAAATTTGTTCTTCAATAGATTCTTGGTGCTGGTATTTTGAGTAATCTTCCAGCTGTTGTATGTATTGCAAACTTTCTGGATGTTGACTTGTTCTTTCAATGGTTGCCCTTGGTGTAACTTGAAGCATTGCTTTCGTTTCAGCTACACCAGTAGCACTGACAGCTCGGCATGTATATTCTCCACTATCTTGAATGTTAAGACTGAGCATATCCAAAGATATATATCCAAATCGAAATACTGACGTAAACCTAGAACCTGCAAAATCAAATATAAATGTTATTTGGTATGTAATTAAAGTTATTCGCTTTAAACAATCATTTATTTTATTTTAATGGGTTTTTTATGTGCTGAAGATATCAAAAAGGATATTTCAAATTGAATCATTGATTTATTAAGAATACTTACTAGCTTCTATACTTTGTCCGTTCCTTAACCATTCAATTTTCATGGAAGGATCGCCCACGGGTTCTATTCTTGTTTCAAAATGAATTTTTCCGCCTTCCATTTGCGTCACACTCTTAAGAGGTATTATAAACTGTGGTGGCGGATAAACTCTGTCTTCCTCGCCTGGGGGAATGTATGGGCGTGCTCTTTCCACGTGTCTCAAATATATTATTTCGGGTCCTGGAGCCGGTCTGAAACATTTTTTTTATTTTAATTTTTTTAATTATATTTATATTGTAAAATATTAAACAAGTAAAGGATGTTTACTCACTCTGGGTCAATAATTTTTGTCGGTCGCGGTAAGTGTAAACGTTTTTGCTCTGGCGGAGGCTCTTTCGGTACTTCAACGTAGAGCCTAGCCCGAGTAGCGGTGGAGCCTGCGACATTCTGGGCCGTACACTGATACCATGCCGCATCCGACGCCTTAGCTCGAGGAATATCCAGTGTCGAGGCCCCACCGTCGGTATTAATTCGTAACTCTGCATTGGGTATAATCGCTACGCCATCCTTCTGCCAAGTGATGCGTGGTGTAGGTGTGCCAACAGCTCGCGCGTTAAGTACAACTGGCTCGCCCTCGCGAACATTCAATGTGGAGAATCTTTCCACAAATTTGGGCGCCACCACTTGTTCTTTTTCAATAACATTGAGTCTGCATTGAAAAGATGTTTCACCGGATTTGTTCCGAGCTACACAGGTAACTACACCACTATCACTAAGATCGACATTTGTAATCATAAGAGCGTGATTTCCGGATTCGTTCACTAAAATCTTATGATTATAATCGTCTCGTATCTGTCTTTCGTTAATGAACCACGTGACTTCTGGGTAAGGTCTGCCAGTGACGCGGCAATCGAATCGCGTCATCTTGCCTTCTGTGACATCACGATCTTGGCAGACTCTTACAAATTGCGGAGCAAGAGCTTTTTCGGTAATTTCTATACTTTCTTCTGTCGCAGTTTTTTGACTATCACTAATATACTGTGCTTTTTGATCCTGTACATAAGTTTCTGTGGGAGACTCCACCGCAAGGTACGCTGACGTGACAATGCATCCATTGGGGTTTTCGGCAAGTAATGTGTAGTGTCCTGCATCAGACTTCTGAATATTTCTCACCCTAAGCGTTGTGTGAGTATTAGTTGTAATTATTTCATGTTTGTTCGAATTAGTTATTCTCTGACCATTTCTGAACCAAGTAACTCTCGGCCGTGGATTGCCTGATAGTTGTACCTGGAACTGAGCATCAGTTCCAACTTGGAGTTTTGAATTCCTTGGTTTTTGTCCTATTTTTGGTGGTGATACTCCGCCTAAGGATTTATCGATTTCAGTATTAATGTGAATATCACTCTCTCCAACATATCGCCGTGTTATCGATTCTCGGAATGAGACCTCTCTTAATAGTCTATACTCAAATGTATCGACTTTGAAATCTTCAATCGAAGAGAAGTCTGTGCCGTTTGTGTAAGCCACTTTTTGAGTCTGACGGGATTGTTCTGAGGAATACCCTTGTGTGCCATAAGACTTGTGCTCGACACTCTCGCTGACATGGCGATAGCTTTGTTGCTGCGAAGCCTGATGCGCTGGAACTGGAACACCCTCTGGTTGGATGTATACTGAGCAGATTGCCTCGCCGTATTGATTCCGTGCGGTACACGTGTACTCGCCTTCATCGCCGGGACCAATCTGCTTGATAAGCAACGAGACATCCCCGGTCTGTTCGTTGTAATTCATACTATACTTATTGCATTCCACTAGCGGTGCCTTCTTTCTGGTCCATGATACTACTGGTGTGGGATTACCTCGAAGCTTGCCTTCGAACTTTGCATTGCCGCCTTGGGCGAATCTGGCATTTTTAAATATTTGTTCAAATATCGGTGGAGATGGCTCTCCGGGTCTGCCTCCAGTTATGGGGATGCGATCACCGGCGCTCTCCACTGAAACAAGAAGAGAGATCTTATATAGCATATGACAGAAAAACTACGAAAAGTGGCTATTTAACCAAACATGAGACAAAAATTACTTTTTCAAAGTTAACAGATTAAAAATTTACGGAAGGACGGAAGTTTATTTTAACACAGCACAGCTTAAATGATGGTAAATAGTATTTGAATGCGTGGTAAAGGAAAGCATGCGCATCTAAATAGTTTGGCGAGTCGGCGAGTCGGTGAGGCAGTAAGCTCCACTCCTGGTACACTGCGATCCGGATTGGGGAGCGCGTGAGTCACTACAGTACAGTGACGAGACGGCCGAGCTCTTTCGCGCGGCTATTTTAGTGTACACACTCGGATCTTGTTACAATCGCCATTTTAGTGAATCATTCACTTTTAATTTTCAACATCTTATTTTATTAACACTTCTTATTTATTTATTTAAATTATAAACAGGTGACGTTAAATTAAATCAATAAATATGATAAACATATTTTTATAATAATCATAAGCTTTCATACTTAAAATGGGTCGTATAAATAGATAACAACTCTATAGCACATAACTATACCTATAGCAAAAAATTCTCTTGGATAGGGCTAAAGACTTATTGGATCTTTCTATGAGAAATCCTATAAGTTCATAATAATAACTCCAAAAATCAAGCGCAATAAGAGAAATCCAATCTTAACAATGCGATTGCAATTAAATACTCTAACCGCATACTAGCAAAGAGTTTTTTAATTAATCAACAAAACCGATTTGTACATACGAGTCATAGGAATGTAATGAGGTAAGCCAGTTTAGCTATTACGGTGACTTGTGCTACAAATCGGGAATAGTATGTAATTTTTCACCGTACGAACCGGTCTCCTCAACCACGATGCCAATACGACCGGTTTCAGATGTCATCGTCCCTAAACTGCTAACTAATGCATTGTTTATATCTTAATTAACCCTTCACAGTAGGAAATTAATTATATTAATTTTATGAGATAAACATTTTTACTATTTTTTAGGTCAAGGTCATGACATAAAATTCTTTTATCTTGAGATTACTAATATTATAAACGCGAAACTAGATGGATGAATGTGTTTATTAATTATCTCCAGAATTACTTGATGGATCACGTTGAAATTTGACATAGATGAAGAACATAGTCTCGGGACACCTGAGTTACTTTTTACCCTTTTTGTTAGATCTGCGCAGACGGAGTCGAGGGCAAACGCTGGTATAAAAATGAATCTTTGATATTGCATCACACATGAACTTATGAGACGAGTTCGCTTTTTCATTTTTTGTTTTGTTTATTAATGTCAGGAGTAGATTAATATTAAAAAAATAAAAAAGTAGAAAATGCAGCTAGCATAGTACAATGATATTTGATACCACACTTGACGTTAAAATTCCGCTACCACTGACAGATTTAGCGTGGGTTTCTGAGACCCAAATCGCCAGATATGTTTTATACAGAGAATTTGGTCTCAGAAACCAGCGGTGAATTGTTAATTTTTTATAAATATAACGATTAGCTTGTTTCAAATGTTCTACAAGAAAACGGCAGATATTTTCAGCAACGCGTGGGATTGCGACGTCGAATCTTTGGTACGCCTGGCGGACTGCCAAACTCTTCTGATCTTTATAAAATTATTACGGTAATATTATAGCGTACGGACTCTCAAACTTATAAATACATACAGACGTGCAATTAAAATTCTTTATCTGGATAAATATTATCTTTTAATTTATGTATGATACGTACCAGGATTTATACAAGATTTTAATACATACAAATAACTTTAGTTATTTTCTAAAGCGCCGCGTGTTTAAACATTTCTTTGAAATTGATACGGCTCTGTTTTAAGCTTAAGTTAAGATCACGAATGACGGGAATCGAACCCATGACCTTGTGATCGCTAGTGATTCCTTATAACTAAGTTATTGGCGCATCTTTATATATGTAAAACAAATTAAATAACTTAAATGTTCTCTTTATATTAAATAAATTAACAAAAATAACGATTTATATCCTAATTTTTAAAGACATCAAGGTTGTTAATGCCCTTTAATTAGTCAATGATCCTAATATATAAATTGTATGTAATAAAAAAGCAATAGTATGTTGTAACTCAATATTTTTACTTTACGACTATTCTCAGTTTATCAAAGTAAAAGAAATGTTTGGTATTTAAATAAAAAAAAAAACATGACCATGCCGAAAGAAAGTTACTGATCCGTGGAACTTTGGTTTTTTATACCAACAAAAAATATAGAATTAAAAAAAGATCTACATTCGATAACAATATCTATTTCTTTTTTTTACAATTTTAATATTTTTATGGAAAGTTTTTTGAACGTATGTTTTAAACTTCAAATTCGGATGCTTATAATGAAATTTAAATAAAACAAATGTTCACTATTATAAAATGTTTTTTTCAAAGATCTGTTATCTAATAGAATTGCTATTAATAAATCACCCGCTGTCATATATAAATTCACAGTACTCGTATCGGATTGACCTATTCCGTACGCCATATGGTCAGTGGCCCTCTTAACTTAACGAGGTTCGTGACTATTCACTACTCTGTAATTCTATGAAATCTTATATCTTACTAACATATTAGCTGTCGCGCGCGACTCCGCCCCTCTGTATTAATAAAACTTAATTGCCTATGTGTTCTTACAGACTATGTTCTATATGTATGCAAAATTTCATCTAGATCCGTTCAGGCATTCTGGAGATACCTTCAAACAAACATCCATCATAGAATATTTAACGAAAACGCCAAAACCGACAAAAACATTTGATTTGGAAAAAAAAATACACAAATTATTTCACAATGAGGAAAATCTTACTAAAGTTACTAATATTATAAATACGACTGTTTAAATCGATGGATGGGTGGATTTTTGTTAGAAGGTATCTCCAGAACGGCTGCATGGATATCGTTGAAATTTGGCATATATGTAGATCGTAGTCTGGAAGAACACATAGGCTACTAATTAGGTTTTTAATTTATTCCGCGCGCACGGAGTCGCAGCCGTCCGCTAGTATAATATAAATCAAAGGAGATGGCTATCGCATTCTTAAAGCAATATTTATTAGCCTCGGTAAATTACAAATTAGTTCAACCAACTACAGCGACACTTAACTGTATGTTTTGCGGAGCTACGTTTAATAGATATTATAGTCAATGCTTGGAGACGTGTTACGCGAAGATATAAAATGATACAGCACAATCCACTGTTAACGGTGAAAGCAAAGACGGTTAAACCGCTGGCAACAGTACTTAAGATAGTTTCACAGGAGGGCGCGACAGTTGGCAATAGACAGCGTGACAGAACTCCGCTGCAGTGAAAATTGTGTAATTAAATATTCATTATTTTCACGTAAAACTGACTACAATAGAAGTAGACTAAAAAATTAATTCTCAATACGATAGAAACTCACAGTATGACAGTGAAATACTGCTGGTCAACACGAAAATTTGTGAGAATGTATTTGCAAATTTTCGACAAAAATTGGCAATATTTGTAGATTTGCCGTTGTACTTTACGCCTGATAGTGGATGTTGTACAAATCTAATAAAACTTTCATCGAACTTTCTCGAAAGTTTTCGAGCTGGGCCCCCAATTATGAGTGTGCGTTGAAAACTTTACAGTACTACACTATTTCAGTGCTCCCTCGTGTGAAAGTAATATTACAATCATAACACATTTGAACAATTCCGGTAAGAAGTTTGACAACTTACAACAACTTTTTAACAACAAATACTACACATTTTTCGCTAGAACCTAACATATTTTCGGAAAAACACTTTTTCATTGATTTAATTTCATTTTTTTATTTTATATCCTATTAGGAATTTAAGGATCCTCTGTTTTGTTAAACTAGGCGCTGTTAAAGTTATAGGTACGTGTACTTCTCATCTATAAATATTTGTGTCTTCGAGATTGTATATCCTCTTAACCAAACAACGTCTAATGTTAGTTTGAATCTTTGGGAATGCCCCCTTTGTAACATAAAATTTAAAAATTGACTTATAAATTTCACAATTCTAAGGCAGTAAATATAAATACGACAAATTGTAAAACATTCTTTTTTGAAGACGGTGTATCAAGTGTCTAATCTAAAGTGCTAGTTATAAATCATAGTTTCTAGAATCTCATTTGGCACCATCTTTAACACATGTCTCGCTTCTTCTACTTTGATATATTTATTTACGAGTACTCTTAATATTGCCTTTTTTATTTTGTACGCACACATGTGGCCAAAAATATAATAATATTATTAAATGCCATCAATCCATGAAACAATCATTAAACCTTATAAATATTTTTCTTGACACAACTCTGACATACAAAAATTATCAAAAAGGTTGGGAAATTCCGTAATTTACTTTCAAAAAAATCCGTATTATATATCATCATTAGTTTCTACTACCTGTAAAAAACATGTGTATACGTGATTATTAAAAAAAACACATATCTTTCTGTCAGTGGAAATCGATATTAAGTTTTAGTGAAAGCTTAATTTAGTTGCTGTTAAAAATAATATTAATATTAACAGTAACTAATAACAGCTAGTTATCATAACAGTTTGTGTGCGGATTATTTCGTAGTTTTTTTTGTCTATCATAAAAATATACCGTTGCAATTTCACATTTGAAATTTACATAAAACAAGGAAAGTTAGTGCGAGCGAATGTAACCGAAAGATTACATTTGACGCCTTATTTTTTTTCGCAGCGGGAGATAAAACGAGGAGCGATGCATAAAGCGAAACGGGGTACTGTTAACCCAGTCGTGTTTTAATGAGACTCAATGGTTCTATGTCTACGCGTTGAACGCAGCAACGATACGATGTGATGACCATCTAACTACCGACGTTGTCTTTGTTCATAGCTTTAACAGCACAGGTGAAAGTCGAACACAATGAAATAACTGCAATTATTAAGCTAAATGTTTAATCAAATGAACGTTTAAGATTCTACGCGCTTTAAATTGATTGTGAAAAGTAATGCTACGATTAATTATTATTCGTAAACCATTGATTCAAGATTGATCAGTGAAAACACAACATTGTTTCAAAAACATCTTTTTTTTAATACTAACGATGCTATTATTCTCTATTTCTCAGCCACAAGACAGAATAGGAAAGCGATAAACGAGCTATGGCTATACAATGTATGTAATAATTGTGTGAATATGCCACCGGCTGATTGTGAACTTAGTTATTTTGCAAACTGTCATCTTACAATAAAGTGAACTATCATTGACAATATAATGCTACAAAATTATTCGGCCCGGTTGCCAAACGTGAAACTAAAGTAGCCGTTTTTTATATCTTGTGTGATAATATCAATGTTTTACATATGATATTGTCTCACAGAAATAAGCACGAAAACATCGTCACTCTCACTGGGCCAGGTCAAAATTGTAAAAAATGAAATATCAATTATGTCAGTTCAAATAAAAAGTGTCATTAACTATGACAAAATATGATAAATATTTGAAGACAATCTTTTGCAGGTTTCCTAAGAATACCCTAACTCAATTTCATCAAAATGCTGTCTGTGTTTAGGAAAAAAATTGGTCTTATTTGAACTTCAATATACAAAATAACGCAAGCAAATTATTCTTTTACCAAAACAATGAATAAAGTACTGAGAAATCACAATTTAAATTGTTAATATCAAAATACTGGCAGTCCGATCGTAAATTGACCAAATTTAAAAACGGTCGGTGACATATCAACTCAACTAAGAACGTGACTTCTTTAAAGATCAGTAAAGTATGCAATACCATATTTTTACTTCTCCAATAGAGCCTCAAAATCGTAAGATGAATTTATATCAGAACTAGCTATCGCCCACGACTCTGTCCGTGCGGATTAAAAAAAATCTAAAAAGAGGCCTATGTTTTTTTCCAGATTATGTCCTACGTAAGTGCCAAATTTCATCAAAATCTGTTGAGCCGTTCTCGAGATAACTTTAAACAAAACTGTCGTGTACATTGTTTGCATTTAACTTATTTAATTAATGATTCAACTGATTGTAATTATTTAAAAAAAAAGAAAAAAATTAAACAATTTTAATTGTGATAGGACATGGTTATGATTGGTTACTCTTGATCTCGAATAAAACGTTTCTATACTCCAAGAGTTACGTACTATACAATTATAACTACTATTGAAACTCATTCAAAATGCGTTTTGGTTCAGCGGAAAAAATAAGATGATAATTAAACGTCAGAGAAAAATAATTGATGCAACGAATTGCAAGTTAACGCACACACAAAACAAACATACAATATGAATACTAACTTATGTATGTGTAGAGAATTTCCATTGTGTTCTTTTCCATTGATTTTAAAATGTGTAAAAATGACTGTCAACTGGAAGCATAATTATTTTACTTTACTTTTACAATTATTAAATCTATATTAATAACATATAACTTTATATAAACTATATTTTGGTAAACTTGAATTATCTGTCATATGACATTAAGTTCGTGCTATTTAATTCAATGAAATATTCGAGTTTGAACAACTGTTTTGTTTTACAATAAATCAAATTATACGCTTTGCCTCTACTTCACACATTGGAGACTTCTAACCGAACATATTAGCGTATTTCTTTTAAATCTTTACGTCTTAAACTAAATAATAATTAAATCATAGCCAAAGTATGTAAAAAAAGTTTATTAAAATGTTCCTTTGTGACTTAACTCATCTTAGCGACCTAATTTCTTATAACGCGACCTAATTTCGATTGTTATCATCCTGTCTGCTTACAAAGTATGAAAATTGTTATTCTTTAAAGAATGTTATCTTCACATATTATATAACAAATTAGTATTTAAATTCATATTAAATTATTATTGAAGCATTCTCTATATTTAAGAGCGTTTTCTTCCTGCGTCTGAAATGATGTTTACGTTTCATTTTTTGCGCCGCTTCCAACATTATAGCGATGTTCACGCAACCATACACACGCCCGATCGATTTCTCATTTTCATCTTACACGTAACGCTATTCCATATGCATAACTACATCATATTGCGTTTACTGTTTGTATTTTTTCATACGTTAAATAAAAAATAACCTTCTAAGTATACCTACATTAAGTTCAAATTAACAACAGACGACCTAATTTCTTCATTCCGATGCTTATTTTAAGAGAAATGAATCCTTGAATGGGAACGTATTTGTCCCGAACACCATTTATAGGTACGAGTTTTAGCCTTATAAGTAAGCGCATTTTAATGTGTGAGTTCGCAGTGCAACCTTAATGGCGAGACGACTGGACTCGCGCGCCGATAACGCCGGCCGGTCGGCTATTTAACATTTAAATATTGCACAAAAAGTATCGAATCGGGGTCGAAGCTGCACCGCAACTATTTCTCGGCTCTTTTTACCATTGCGTGAGTTCAGCGTTCATATTTAATAGTGCCTATTGTAATGCAATTCGCATTTAACAACACAAAAATCCCAAGCGAAGATAGTGCGATTATTTCTTTAAATATAGGTAATAAGATAAGGTAGTGAATATTTGCGGGAGCGCATTCCTGTGGGAAGGCGCGAGGCGAGGGGCGCCCGGGGCGGTCGGGAACGCGCCTCGAGCGCGAGCGGCGACCGCCCACGCACCCCAGAATAGCCGCACCATCTCGCTCGCGGTGAAAATCGCCATGCACAAATAAAGTTACGCACCAGGAAACCAAAGAAGAGGGCGGTTCGCCCGCACAGCTGAGCCCTACCGCGACCTCTCACCCACCACACTCTTTACATTGACATCAGTTCGCAGGAGCGTTGTTAGTTGTAAATGATGTTAAGGGTTAGACATTGAAAGCAATACGTAACCCCTAACATAATAAATGATTTAGTTTAATAGAAAAATAATGGAATATGTAAGTTGAGTACTAACTTCGTTGCTGCGTGAGCATTTGGTGCGTGTAGTGGTGCTCGGTGCGCTGCACGCGCTCCTGCTGCTGCACCAGCCGCTGCTCGCTGCGTTGCTCGCTGCGCTGCTCCGACCATCTCGACTGCTTCTCCATCGTGCCGCGCGCCGCAGCCGCACAGCCGCACAACGCACAGAAAATATAATAAAACTCTCACTCGACGCTAATGTTTTTATCGTTAAACTCGTCTCGGCGGTCGCCCAAAATAAATAAACGCCACTGCGAAAAACTTATACTAGTCCACGGGTTCATTTAGCAGAAGTCAAGTCATTATAACCCAAGTCCCAACAACCAAGACGTCGGTCGATTGCGAATAGTTAGCGGACAGTGGCAACGTGGCGGAGTCCGCGCTGCGCATGCGACGCGCGGCGGGGAGCGGCGCGACCGAAATACGACGAGTTATTTTGAGCGCGCGCGCCTCCCGCGCGCTCCTCCCTCCCCTGCCCACTCCTCCCCACACCACCATCCCACTATCCCATTCCCAATATCCCATATACAAAGCACCACTTCAGCATCAGCACCATCAATTTCAGAAAGTGCAATTAATCAAGAAGAATAATACCAATTAAATTGTTCTTCAATCACAATAAATTGGCTAGACATTACATCATGATAGATTTGAATGAAAATAACTACAATTCGCGAATTTAAAAAAAAAACTTAATTAGCAGGCTATGTGTTCCAGACTCTACATTTGTGCCAAATTTCACCGAGATACGTTAAGCTGACCTGGTGGTACATTTCATCCATCCACACATTCGCATTTATACTATTAGTGAGAATAGACTAGGCTTAGTTAATAAATAAACCGATTTTTGTTCCAATGAAAGTAACTTCGAAAAATTACAAAGATGTTGAAGTTTCTTAAAGAATTGACGAACTTTTTTAATTTCCTAAATTTTGTAACAAAATAAGGATACAATTTTGTAGTTTATTCGATATTTAGGGACTGCAATCTAAATATCCTAACACTATAAAAAGACCAATAGGCGAATCCAAGATGGATGTAAGTCTTTGAATGTGCAGTTTTCTATTTATTAAATAGAGTGACACTGCTGAAATATTTATGTAAAATGTTAGGTAGTTATGGAAATATCATATCCCTAAAACATTTTTATTAATATTCTAGATTTTAAGGCCGTAAACCTTTTTCTAAATTCATCAAAATAACCTACTAAACTTATATTTCCACATATGTGTTTATTTTAGGCTTTTTTCAATAAATAAACGAATGCGTCATAAAAATAAGAACAATTTCTTAAGATGAGACTTATATTGATTCACCGGGAATGTGGTTGCAAGCCGGCAAAATTAATTCTCACCCGTAATCGCGAGATCAGTCATGAAAGTGACGCATATAAGCGTGCTATTTTCAGACTGAAATACAACCCAAGGGTGGGATAAATTATGCGTTCCAATACTGAGTATCATAACAAAGAGAATGCAATTTTTTTTCCACCCACAGACTTTTTTAATTAATATAGAGTATTCTAGCTGTATACAGAGAAGTCAATACATTACTTGAAGCTTGTATTATCGTAAGATTTTCAAATATTGATCAAATTGTAGAGTTTTCTAAAATATTTATTTATTAATATACTGCTATAGTCCTCTGTCCCTTCCCACCCTTTTTTTTATAAGGAAAGGATGGGAAGTGGAAGTGGACTTTCCGGATGAGAGGATGCATGGAAAGGGAAAATGTTATCTTTCTGTGCTCTCTCCTCCGTCGATTAAAGGTAGGCAACGCATATGCAATTGCGTATGTTTATGGGCAACGGTCACAACGCTATTTCAGCGATTTCAGGTGGCCGCTCGCTCGTTTGCCGCCTTATGATAAAAAAGTAAGATTATAAGCTATACTTTCACTTTGGCATTGTATTGCTAGATTCGTCTAGTATTATTTAAATTTTGATTCTTATCATCATCATCAGCTCACTATACGTCCCAACTGAGGGGCTCAGTGCCTATCCTATGATAGGGGAGACGAGACCATAGTCCACCGTGCTGGCCCAGTGCGGGTTAGTTGACTTCACCCATATCTTTGTTTCTCTTTTCAGATATGTGCAGATTACATCACGATGTTTTCCTTCACCTTAAGATTCTTATAGTCATAAAAAGTCACGTTGAATCACTTCACATTGGTTGGCTTTGTCCAATGAAACTAGTTCATTGAAATGCAAATTTTAAACTTTCTCGCTTGTTATTCCTGTATGAGGTTCATACAATGCAACATTCATTCACATTCTCGTGGGAGCCTTTTCCAGTCGTCAAATTTATAACGCAATAGGAAAAGATTATGCCGTGACAACAAAATCGGTGTTACTCTACATACCATATGTCTTTTGTTGATAGCGTGCAGATTAGCGAAAACTATTGCTTCCGGATTGCTTGATAAATGTTATAAAGGTGCGTTTCCAAGATGCGTGGTTCTATAGACGAACGCTGTTCGCGTTCACCATTTTATTATCTCTGTTTTTATAGCATGAGGGTTGTCAATATTTTTTCATAAGAGTATCGGCTGCAAAAACCACAATCACGACTCTTCATTGCAGTGGTCCGATGGTCCGACAGTGGCTGTGTGAAAATTAACGCACCGTGGGAACGTACCTTAATCGCAACAATAATCCGAATGCGAATAAGTTTGAGTATTTCACATTTCTTTGTCAGCGTTCGATTTTTAATTCATCACACGATGTTATGTAATGCAAATTAATACAATGAAACGGAAATGTTTAAACATCCGGTTTTAATATGAAACTTTGTATCTTTTTAACTATCAGCAAAAAGACACAAGCTAAGTTTCGTGCGCTACTCTGTCATAGTGACTGTTGTAGGCATCTGCAATCTGGTCGCTGCGCTATTTCGGCGAATTAATGTGGCCGCTTGCTCGTTTGTCGACTTGTAATATAACAAACTATTGGACTATCGTACGTACTGATATAAACCGATTTTGCTGCCTACAAAGTATGTTTTAAAAAAAAAGGAGACATGCTTGTCCATTTTGAACACATGCAGAATGAACAATTTGATCGAATTCTTATCCGTGTTGCCTGTTTAAATTAAACAAAATTTATGAATTTAGTCTAAAAATTTAGAACAAATTATATCTATCTAATCAGCTTGAAGTTGTCTCTGGATGTAGGTTCGATGATCGCACTTCTGCCGCATCCAGCATACAAATTTATATTAACCTTTATTACTTCGAAGTACTGAGAAATAACTCACCAAGAGAAAATAATTCGAAGATAATAAAATGCAATGATTGGATTTAACGTAATACTTAAGACGCATGCCAGTTGCCATCACCCGTTTGATTGTAGGTGGTCGATATTTTTGGCGGAAAACATAAAAACAAGCGAACATCGCCCACGGACGAACAAACTCTGCACCGGCAACGCTGACTACAACCTGTTGGCATTCAGTGAGTAACCGTTTTGCGCAATTCAGGTATTTTATTTTCAGATGCCAAGCAGCAAACGATATAATACTCTTTACCTGAAATTTTTCATTTGAGGCACACAATATTCAATCATTTTTAAAACGAGACATGTTGACCTACATTGTAAATTAGGTTATGAAAATATTTTCTAGAAAAATTCTGAGAAGTTTAACGGGGGTGGCGTTGAAGAAACTGCCGTGAAGTTCCATTGCATATTTGTTTCGAAACATGTTATTGTCCTTGTTTTTCCTAGAGTTTTTGACAAAAGAGTAGAAACAAAACAGAATAATTATAATGTGACATATGCCTGTTATAAGTAATATCGATTTTTTTATGCAAGAGAAAGGGGAAAAAGAGCGGCGGGAACACTGCGGTGATTGCTTAAGCCCATGGGCTACCGCAACACCAGAGGAACCACACAGGCATTGCTGACCTTTTAGGTAGAGAGGTAGAGCTGCTCTCACTATGAGGCGTACCGGTTCGGTGTGTCAAGAACTTTTCGTAACAGGAAATTCCTCGAGAATCGCCCTATTGAGCAATGCCAGACATCCAGGTGGTCTTTTTCTATGTAATTAAAAATCAATATTTGAATATTTGTCTTGTAGACGCTCCTAAATTTAATCCGATTGTAATGGAACTTTAATCGGACGGCTCAAGCATTCGCTTGGGTGTATTTTTCCGTTTGAAAATAATCTTTAATAATATTTTGATTTAATACTAAAAGAGGAGAGCGCTCTCTGCCCTGTTTATCTACATTATATTTTGGTTGAACGTTATTGCAAAATTCATGATTAATTTTAGATTCATCTAAAAATATCACGAAAAATGATTACATTCATCGGCAATGACGTCACTGTCATCAACCGTGAATAATTCTTTGAAGCTAACAAACACGGTTATGTTTTGGGTAAGATTCGAATAAGTGTTACAAAGTTGCATTGGTATGTAACACGATCCCAACTCGTGAATATGTAGTGGTATTAATATAGATTTGCTTTTATTAATACATACACACCTCACCTAGTGACTGGGCGGTATCGTACAATCTACCTGTGCGAACGGAGAACGAGCCAAGCATTCCAAAATAGAACTGGAGTAAAAATACACAAACATCTCCAATTTCTCTAATACAAACATTAAGTTAATTTGCGATTATCACATTGATTCTCTTTATAATTGCCTTTCTTTTTGTTTGTTCATTCTTCTGACAGATGAACGCATAAATTATTTTTAGAACAAATAACCATTTTGTAATGTAAGGTACTGGGCTACGGCCAAATGTCTCGTCATAAATAAAAAGTGTCTAATAGATGACTAATTACCTATTAGAGAGCGGTCATTTATTTTAACTTATTACTGTAATTAATATTTATAAAAATACTATTCTAATAATTCTAATTTTTCATTACGCGTTGCATCATTAAGTTACATATGTCTTTATGACATAAAATTTAACTCAAATTACTATTATTAAAATGCACAATGTATATTTTAAAGTACAATTTAAAAAATAATACGGGAAGCTTAGCCGGGATTTCAGATGAAATTGACAGACTCCTGGAGCGTTAGACAAAGTGCTTTCGCTTCGAAGCGATAACTAATATCAAAAATGTATGAAATTGACTCGCGACCATCACGTGACTTATCGAATGTTATAATTATACATTTTTGAAGTTCGCTATGGAATCGCTGCGTCGATTAAAGGTGCAATTCTTTGCAATTGCATGGATATCTATGGGCAGCGGTTCGATATTTCGACAAATTCTGATCGTCTCTTACTGATTTCCATTTTATAATATAAAAAACTATAAACACAGTATACAAACTCAAGCATTCAAACTTATGTTTCTATTAAAGCTAGTTATGGGAAAAGTTAACACGCAACAAATTATCGCATTTAATTTCCATCAGCAA